CATATTTGGTGGAGAAACTTCTTGAGCCGTTTGTATTCAAATTCACAAACAGTTTGTGTTTAAGCCAAATGCCTAAATGTTATAATCTACCACTAAGCGAGTAGCCAAAAGGTTTTTCTTGAATATATTCAGTTTGAGTCCATTCTCTTTCTAAAAAGGTGGCATCCCTAAGCAAAATTTTTTTCTATTAGTCTTCGAACTTCTTTTTAGTTTGATACCCTGATAAGAATATATTTTATTATAACTCATCAATTTAATTGTATTATAATTTTCAAACAGGTGGCAACTTTCCTCTAAAATTTCTCGATCATTAAGATTTTTTAATCTCTGCATTCCGATACCCTTGTGGTTACGTGTAACGTTCTTTTCGATTTTTTTTTAATTTATTTTTTTTTAATTTATTTTTTTTTAGTTAATTTTTTTTATTTTAATTTATTTTTTTTAATAGGTGGCAATGCTGCTCCAAATATTTTCTTAACAAGTCATTTTTTGTCAACTATCTTTATCAGCTCGTTCAATCATAGGCACACTAACAGAATATTCTCATGTATGAAAAATTCCAAAACAGGTGGCAACTCTGCTGAATTATAAATTTAACTAATCTCGAGCTCACACAAATTTTCATCATAATCGGTCAAGTAGTTTAGGAAGAATTTAGTCACCAGTACACCTACCTTAATGGGTAACACCAAAGATATTAGACGAAGTAATAGCCGGTGGGTTTAAAGTTAGCTCCGAAATTAGATTACAGAAGAACATTGCTTCGCAACTCAATTATTGCCGATGAATATACTTTTTGTAATATTTGAACTGTAGTTCCGTTCTTTTGTAAATTTTTATATGTAGCCATGCCCTTCCCAATTAGCGGACTGAACGGACTTCCAAGGGTTTTGTAACCGCTGTTGCTATATTCAGTCGAGCTCTATCTCCGATTATGGTGTGCACCTTGATATTTTTTCAACAAATGAAGGGGCCTCCAGTTTATTCTAACCAGCCTCCGAACGGCCGATGGTTGGATTTTTGTAAAACGTCTTTGATTTTCATGTCAAAGATATATCCGGTGGCCTTGTTTTTTCCTGCTGAAGGGCAATCGTATTTAGAAGAATTTATTTTCTATCATTTGGGATGTTGGCCAAACCAGGACCACTCGGCTATTGTGCCCGAAATGCCCAGTAAAAATTTACGCCATCCAAGCCTCAATGTATTGTTCAATATGATTTTTTCTTTAGACTCGGCCATTTTACCAAAGATCTTGAAAACAAAGGGAACAATTTGAATCGTGGCTTCAGTTTTGGTTCACAGGTATTCCAAATTCGGAGCCTTCACTGGTTCTTATATCAGTATAATATCACTTATCTAAGTTCCTTTTATCAATGATTACACCGATACAGGTGACTGAGTTCGAAGACGTTCAGCTATCGTCCGAATTCATACCGTACGCATTCGAACCGCTATTTAAAATAAATTGAAGAGCAGATCTGACGTATTTTTGGGCTTAAAATACGTCATCACTATGATTAACCGAGATTTCACGTGCTTTATCCAAATGATGGAAATAATATAATAACCCATCTTTAAGTTCTATGAACATCAAAACGGAGACGAGATGCCCCTAATGTGTGGTGCAGGTCACTCTCTTATCGTATTTACTTTTTCTTGTTAAATATCCGCTCTGTGAAGGAACTGCAGTCTTCTCATACTCAAATTTTATTTTTCTGTTCAAAAATATTCTGATACAGAGCGCCATTTTACTGTGAGCACGCCAAACTCTCATCAATATCACCAATCATTGATTTTTGCCATGAATAAAACTCTCACACACCCATAAATAACATTTAATTCTAAGTTTAGCTCAGGTAAAGGAGAATTCACATTTCATTTCATTCGTTGATTACCACTTTTTTAAGCAAATAACTAAATAAATATGTATCATTGTAATGGAATATACATATTGTACATAAGTATATGAAAGTAAATACTCGAAAATGGGTAAATATTTATATATTATATGTATGTATATATGTTTGCATGGAAAGCATGCTCAAATGTTGTTTACCGAATTCTGTCATGATTCTTGACTTTCCATGCTGCGATTTTGGGCGTCAGTATGGCGCAAAACATAAATAAATACATAAATATACCCTGCAAACAAGCTTAGACCATATGGTCCATTGGAGTAATCCAAAAGTTACTCTTTTGTAGTTTACTACTGGATCAACTCACGTCTCGCTACCAGCTTGTTGTTCGTTGATGCTTATCCGTGTTTTAGCGATTGAAATTTCTGAAATTTCAGACGTAAACTTGTGAAAATGTATTTGAGTCATTTTTGTTTCGTTGATGAGCTTAAATTGAATAAATTCGCGAAATGAAATATGTTTGTTATTAATTTTTAATAATAAATAAATTAATACCGTTAATATAAATTTGTATGATAAGCATTATGTTGCACTAACTTTTCACCAAAGCGGATTGTTTCGAAACTAAATAGTATTTTTCGTATATAGTCCATAGTATAAGCCACTGTAGGTACTCCGTGGAGTAGTTTTTGGATCAACTTCAAGACAAATTCTATGAATGTTCCACCATTGATTACTCGGATGTTATGCAGAGGAGTAGTATATGGTTTAGCGATGATAATAAGACTATATTTTTGTATGGTTACTTTTGAATTACTGTATTGTCCGTGTAGAGTATATATTTCACGCGTGTATGCAGTACTCGCGAGGTTTGCAGGCCATATGATTACACATATTAATATACTTTTATACAAATAAATTATGCGCTCGGCTTTTGGCCACAATCGATATAGATTTGGCACGCCATAAAGTCGTAATCAAATTTGTTTTTAATAAAAGCTTTTGGCACAGTTATGTTGGCTTTTAACTGGCTTTTGTATGGTTATAGTCCTTATAGAGATTTTTAGTTAAGTTTCTATTTCAAATTCCAGGCGAGTGGCTCAATGGTTTTTCTAACAAAGATTTTTTTTATATACACTACCGAAAATGAGATATTCTTCTAGTTTAGTTACTAACATTTCAAATTCGTAACGGTAAATTTCACGTCAGTAAAAAAATGTCAATCGATGCGGTTGAAGCATTTGAAAATTTTATAGTTCAAGAAAATTTTGTATCGTTTTCACCCGAAGGGAAATGCCGCTGTTAATGTTCAGTCGTTAAGAGATAATGTTAAATCTTGAAATTGCAGTGTGCTGTTAACATAATAGCCGGCAGACATTTTAAAATTAATGTTAACAATGAATGCATGTGGTTGCAAAATTAACAATTTTATTTCATTTCGATAACATGGCGTTCAAACGAAACAAAATTATTTCGGTAAGTTTATTTATCTTATCGAGAAAACAAAATGGCATCGTTTCATTAACATTAGCATCTCATGTCTTTCATGAATATTTCAAATTTATTTCATTGCATTTTGTAATCAAATATTAAGTTATATTTGAGTGGTTCCAAATAATGATCAACGCAGTATAAAAATCATCTGTTCACCAAGTTTTGTTGAAATATCTCATAAATTGGGGAACTAGTTAGCATACAAACACACGGACATGACAAAATCAACTCACTTCGCCAATCTGATTATATCGCTATAAATCGCTTTTTTATTCTACTGTTACTTACATGCTTCGGACCAAAACTCATTTCTTCTTCATGAAAGCTATAAACACATTTAAGGACTAAGCCTAAGTTCGAGTGAAACCGAATATTGGTTACTTGTCTAATATTATTATGAAGTCGACAGATCTGTCAAAATAAGGAGGTCTGTTATATGATAGGTAGCTCTATTCTGGACCTACCAAGTTTGGTTGAGGTCTGTTAATTAGTCAGGTAACTTTTAACAGCGAGAAATTTCAAACTCTTTGCAACATCGAATCTTCTTCTGGAAACCCCTGGATATTTAAAATTGAATTTTAAAACGAATGTAAAGCTCATTTTGATGAAAACAGAAGTATTTATCTTATTGCAAATTTAAGCAGAAATTGAGATAAGTATTTTTATGAGCAGCTGTGGTATGTAATTGGTTTATTCAGCTATGGGGTGTAAGTTACGTTATAAAGTAATCGAGATAGATATGAGTATGAGCAAATTTTGTATACAATTCATATTTGTTAGGAACGATCGCATTAAATGGAAAAGGCTGAATGGGGGCAGAAGTTAGTGGACAGAGGACAGAACTCGATAGACTTTCAAGTTTATAAATGTGTATAATTCCCATGGCATAGTGGGAACACTAATTGAATGACGCGATGGAGCAACATCTTTATCACACATAACGGAATTTTACTCTAACCAACCCGCTTGACTTAAAATCGAATATTCAAAGCATTAATAATGACTAAATATTTAGTACATAAAAGTGCGAATTCTTTTTGGAAAAAATAATTTTTTTGTTAGTGCTATCTGAAAATAAGCAAAGCTGAGCTGTTGAAATTGCTCTGATTCAATTTAAATGTGTATCATACGCCAGTACCTTGAAAAGGAACCTTCTATTCCAATAATATAATCCCTAGAGCAATAAGTTGTTGCGTAGAGTTGCCAACAGTTTTTCTTTTTTAAATAAAAAATTTGTAAACTAAATGAAATATTGCAATCTTAAAAGCGTTACGCAAGGTAATACATGGCATGAGGATCGTTACTGTATTCCTTTATTACTTTATGGGAATCAAATGAAGAAATTAAAAAAGAAAGAGTTTCCATCTGTTATATAATTTGAATGCAATTAAATGGGTTAAACAAATTACTGCTACATTAAACGGAGAGTGTTAAGAATGCTTATAAAGAAAAATATTTGTTGGAGAAATCTTCCACCTGTTTCGCTCTATCCGAAGGCCTTCTCGGCTGAGTGGCATTGGTGAGAGGACTATGAAGTTATTCTAAGTAATCCCATTTATTGCTATAGTCTTTAAGCTTGTTCTGAAATCTTACGTTTCCTGTCTATCGAAAATCACCAAATTTTAATTTCTAATTTTTTTTGTTTTTCAGCGCATGTCAGCAAGAATTCATTGCTGAAATAAGAGGATGACAGCTGAAGTTATGGCTACAGACACAAATTGGGATCCCGGTAAGAAACTCAAAAAAATGTTAGCAAATTCCATTCGACAGACCCTGTGCAGGGTTATTCATTTCGAGGTTACGAAAATAAACGTAAACAAAATGCCTCTCTTATTATAAAATTTGAACCTTGTACGTGAAACACCACTTCACTTAAACGAGCATCTCACGAATTTTCGCAAACTTAAATCCATTTGGAGTATTTTTCTTCCAATTGGGCGGAATCTTAGCCATAACTTGACAAAGACTGGCTTTCAAGTAGTCAAGAGCTAACAGTTTATCCGAATAAACACGGTCCCAGTGGCTAATTAACATCACCCCGACAAGAGATTATATGCCGCGAAATACCGCTCGCAATAAAGCCATACTATACGCTCCAAGTTGTCAGTGAGATTCTCGCCGTTGTCATTTTCAAAGGAACAAGGTCAAATCACACCCCTGGACTAAAGAGCATAACGGATAGTAAGTTTTTGGAGGTATATTGAACTCTCTCCAATTAATTAATATGTTCGAAGTCTCGAAAGGTACAATTTCGCTTAAGCTCAGAGAGAGAAATGTGCTTTGTCGATGAAGAAAATTTTGTTGCTTTTTGTCCAAGCCCCCAATCAACGTAAATACAGCGTTGTGAATGGTCAGCTGACTTCAGTTGTCATATGAGCTGAACTTTACAGGGATGTATGTAGTTGTAAGTCCAGGCGGCCGCGTTAGCCGAGTGGTCAGCATTGCTTACTCTACTGCCATTCGGAAGGCTCGGGTTCAAATGCTGGTGTCGTACTAACATCGAAAAGTTATAAGAAATTAATTTGAATCCAAAAGTAAGCAGTCCAAGTGTATTTCTGACATGACATAAAGACTCCTCATAAAAACCATTAGCCGTTCGGAGGCGGTTTAGTATAAACTGTAGAACCCTCCATTTGTTGGAAAAATATGAAGACGCAGCTCTTGAGAACGTCGAGAAATAGACACATTCGGATCTTCGGCTACACTTTCATTTACAGTAGCGCTCAAATCACAAATAGAACGTGCAAAACGAGCAGATACAGGTCTTACAGAGTTCTCTAGCCGACTCAGTATATTCAAGTTTCTTTGAAATTCTATTAATTGTTCGCGGGGCTGCCCAAATATTCACACCAAAATCACTTTTTGAAACACGAAACGTGGTCACGTTTGAATCACGATTCTTGTTGTTGTTTAGTTTGGCAGTTAAGTTTGACAAAAGGCAAAATACAACCCTGAAAACCACGAAAAGGATAACCCTATATAGTGACGCTTTATTGTATCAATCTTTTTATATTCTTTCTTCCTTCTACTTCTTCTTCGTCGTCGTAACGTAAACGCTACTAATAAAATTAACTTCATTATTCACATTACACGTTTATCTTGTATTCAATGCAGCACTTTCGAAACTCATAACATCACTAAAGGAGGCGGAGAACCTTTCCAATGACCAGGAAATCGATTTCCTCAAAGCCTTGCTCGAATCGAAGGAGCTGAATGCGCTCGTCAATGTGCACACAAAAGTAGCCAAAGTAGGTCGAGACGATCGACTGGCGCCGGTGCTCTCCACATCCGGACAGGTAGGGGAGTAGATTTAAAGAAAAATTAAATTTACATATGTATTTATATATATACGAGTGCATATGTATGCAGGCTTCTGGCATCTATTATTTGTTTGTTTGTTGCGCTTTTATTAAAATTTCCATATTGTTTGCTATAGATTTTATATGAAGTGCTGGAACAGCTCTCACAGCGTTGCCACCTAAACGAGGAGTGCAAAGAGGCCTTTCATTTGTTGCAAGAACCGCATTTACAGGTGATTTTTTGCTAATTTCATTGTTCATGTGACACAACAAAAATATGCGTCATTCTTTCACATATTTAGACATACACATATATACATATGTATATATATATATTTTTTTTTTTTGTTTATAGAGTCTTTTATATGCACACGATGCCATTGCGCAAAAGGACTTCTATCCGCATTTGCCGGAAATACCCATTGAAATGGATGAGGATGAGGAAACAATTAAAATTGTGCAGCTGGTGAAGAGCAATGAGCCATTGGTAAGCGTGCGTTGTTTTGTTATTTTTATTTTTTACTACGGATATCGATTTCATCATGTTACACAGATTAATTTTAAAGCAAAAATCAAAAAAAAAAAAAACAAAAAAAACAAGAAATATATAACAAGTATGTCGTTGAGTACAACAAAAAAAAAGAAGAAGAAGAAAAATGCTATAATAAAAAGTATTTGCGTAGATAGTATTCATATGAACGCATTTCTTTTCTGACATCACCATGGTCGTCATCATCGTCATCGTCGTCATCATCAGCACTATCATCGTTATTACCGTCATTGGTACAGGCATTGTCCTGCGGCATCATCATCGCTCACCTCCCACAAAGCACACACACACACATACAATAGCATAGCTACCGATGCACACACCATCACAATGAATAATCATAGATATATATACATAAATACAAACATACATACTTATACAATATATTATACATATATATCTATTATAGTTTTTACTAAACTGGCATTTGATAGGTTTCAAATCACTTTCACTACGCTTTTGTTTACTCATTGCCTTTGTTATTGCTTTTGCAATTTATTGGTTAAAAACAATGAGCTTTCTTCGCTTACTTCGCTTACTTTATGCTTTCTTTGCCTTCATGCATAAATTATTGAGCTTTACAGCATAAGCGGTAGTATTGCTACTTATACAGATGTCCATACATATATACAGGTGTATAATTAATTTTTAAATTATTTGAAAAATCTATAATTTATATTTTACTTTTTTTGTTACGTCGAACCCACCTCCCGCCAAACCGACCGAGAGGCGCGTCTGAGAGATAACCGAAAACCGGTGACAGTCCTGAAACCGAAACCGTTCCCGGGTGGTCGCGGTTAGACTTGCCTCTTACACTAAACAGCTACAGAAGAAATTTACTTAGTTATTTAAAGTACTCAGTTAGTAGATTTTGGTATAGAAAAGCGAGTCAGAGGCATGCTGTCCAAATGTGTATTAAAATCGTTACACAGAGATCTAAAGTTTGCTCTGCATGAGCGCAACGAAAGGGCCTAAAGTATCTAGATAATCTTAAAGGCATGGTAAAGCCTTCAATACTACTTTTTCAAAATCGAACGCTTCCAATTCCCACCATATTTACGAAAAAGCTTTTCCAAGCACTTTCCTAGTACTTCATCGCCATATTAAAATAGCTGAACCAACAAGCTATCGACTCCTCTCTCTATTCGATATTTTCTTCGCAATTTAGGCGAACTAGAGAAATGCTACCACCAGTTGCTCATTCCTATATGAGTATGCCTTCTCAAAGCCTCCGCAATGTTGGCATGAGCTATTGATAACAACTCTTATCAATTTAGTTCAAAATAAAACTCCAAACATCTTTCAACGGGCGTGGAGTGTAGGCAGATTAATGAGCCGTAGACGACATATGTAATAAAGCAGGTTTTTTGCCTCCCAGTTTAAATTTCTTAATGATCTTAATTTTTCGATAAATTTAAATGGCAGACCGGCATGAGAGACAATATTTAGAGTATACTGGTGGTCCGGACTAAACAAACCGTCTGCTTACACGAACTCAGAAAACTTATACAAATTAAAATCGTTTTGTATTTTGCTCAAAATAAGAATAAGAGGGTTGCCTTCTCTTTTTCGGAATTTTTCAACCCTAGTGTCGCCTTAAAGGATTTTCCAATACAGAAATTGGTGGAAAAAATGAAGCTGTGAAGAATAAAACACGAGCACATCGTTCAAGAACAACTGAGAATATTGCTGTTGTAGCCCAAAGTGTTGAAGATAACAAAGGTTTGTCCATTCCTCGTCGTTCTTTGGCATTGGGCATTGGCACTAATTGATATTACACCATGTCATCGGCAATCAGCTAAAGTTCGCAGTACTCACTCCCTCCTTTTTACCCGCTTATGTCTCCAATACCGAAATTCAAGCCAAGTTCTTCTGCTTACCCTTAGCACTGCTTAAATAGGCTCGTATTTCTTAGGATATTTTTAAAATTGGAGTGTTCTCATCTATCAGCGTGACCTAGTTAACGTAGCTGCTGTCTTTGTATTCGAAGAACTATTGTCAATATGTCAATGTCACCGCACTTCTCATACAGTTCAACGTTGGTTCAGCTGGAGATATTTCTTCCTCAAAATCTTGGTCTTGGAAACGACCTGAAATAAAGGCTCCTCATAAAGAACCATTAGCCATTCGTAGGCATCTTCGTATAAACTGTAGGTACATCAATCTAGAAAAACAACAAGAAGCAAAACCAGAAATTGGAGGAGAAGCTCAGCCGAAAATCGCTTCAACGGGGTACAAAGGTTTACAGACGAGCAACTTGATCTGAGCTATTATACTGGAGTAACCCAAGCGTCCTTATACTTACGTGATTACAAGACATTAGTTTCAAATATCCTCGAACTTTAAATCAGTTCGAAATCTAAAACCTAAGCTTTCAGGCTTTTATTATATTATTTAGTAAATAAATTAAATAAGATTTAAAATTAATTAATTTGTTTTTATTATTTTAAAAAGTGTCTTAGTTTTTAAATAATTTAAAAGTATTCATTTCATTGCTTTACTCCATTACAACAATGTACATACACACATACATATGTTTTTACTAATAACTTTTAAAATATAAACAGCAATCAGTCAGCCCAAAGACACACACACACACAACTTGACAAACAGGAGCTCTTGTAAAAATCCACAACACTTCTCATCAACGCCTTTACTATGTGTAGGCTAAAAACCTACATTTGTATATATATATATTTATATATATAAATAAATGTATATGTATAATTTTTCCAATTACTCTGCTCACTATTACTCTTTTGCTATTTGTTGTTAGTCTTTAAAAAAAATAATGCTCATAAAATATTTAAAATTGTTCTTTTGTTTAACATACAATATATGTACATATATATGTAATCAAATGTATATTGTAGAACTGCAAAAATAGAAATTTACAAAAAAAAATTCTTACCAAAATTTGTACTTCGTGTATTTCACACACATATTCTCTCTCACTTCAAACCACAGTCAGGAGCACAAAGTGCGGAACCGATTGTTGTAAGTAAATGTCCTTTGAAAAGAAATTAAAACAATATGTAACGTGTGCTATATGTAATTATATATACTCGTACATACACATACACGCGTACATATGTATATTAAATGTCCATGTTCCTGCTAACTTTTTCTGTATAATACACATACTTATTCACTTACTTACTTTCATACATCAGAATACATTATTAACTGTATATACACCAACAACAAAAACATCATAAAATATTTTAGAACAAAAGATTATTATTATAATCTTATAAACCAACGATTTTACAGGCCGATTTACTACGGAAATAATTATTAGGTATCCCACATGAATTAAATGTTTAAGTCAGAGATGCTCAACCAATGAAACTTTGCTATTCGGTTTGGTTAATATGAAAAATAAACTTATCGAAAGTATTTTATTTCCTTTCGACGCCATATTTTCCAAACGATATTAAATTGTTAATATAGAAACCGCACAAACTCATCGTTACTTAATTTTTAAAATGTCTGCTTGCTATGATGTTAACAACACACTGCTATGTTAAGATTTAACATTATCTGTTAACGATTTAACATTAACAGCAGCATTTCGTTTCGGGTAAAGGTGAAATAAAATTTATTTTGATAACTGTTCTAACGGTGGCATTTCCAAATGTCTCACCCGAATCATTACAATGCAGTCTTGGTTAAATAATTTTGTTAATTTTTTCAGTGAGGGTAAAGGGTAAAACACAAATTAACTTTAATATCCAAACTGAATCTACACCACCTGCATTTTACAATAGCATTGATAATGAAATTTCAATGTATAATGGATACCTTACACCTTATGCTGAACAAAATTTTCCTTGCTTCTTTAAATCCAATCTAGAGGCGCCCCAAAGTGTTCTATCGGACTTCAGCGGAAGGGTTAATAAATGAATTGTCATAAGATACACCACAAGACATTCGTGTACATTCAAATATAGAAAATCTTCCTTTCTTTACATATTGGCGATATATGCATTTTTAGTTTATTGTTAGGAGCTGAGATAGTGAAAATTCTTATCGCACAGGTAACACAGTTATGCCTAGTGAAGGATGTTTTTCACACGTGTGGATTTCAAGAATATATAATATAATGATGAGGAAAATAACAGCTATAATACCATCCTAACTGTAGTTGTAAATTTGTTTTACCATTCCAAAAAAAATATAAAAATTTAAATGAAATAATCGAAGTGACTTTCAATAACCTCACAAAAATTAGTCCAGCGTTGTTGAATCGCACGATCATGGAGGCTCCGCAACAGACCCATGACACATGAAGTTTCCTTCAAAAAATTGATTATATCGTTGACATTTAGTGCCAAGTTGTCGGAATCAAAGCTCTTCCATTTTAAAATCATCCAGGTCAGATACAAAAAAATTATTAGTCAAAGCGTCCATTTACTGGAACATTATGACCGGCTTCATGTTTGTAGAAATATGGAACAAATACTCCCTCTACCCATAGAGCCCACCAAACGTTGCGTTTTTGAAGACAACCAACCAAAAGTGAGCTTTATCGTTGAACAAAACTGTTTTGCGATGCATCGCGCGAACCGAGCAGTTATTTTGGTAAAAAATTTGCATGATTCGCAAATGTTGAGTATAAATCAAGTAACAGCTGCCAAAAATACCAACTCGGAATATAGTAATCGATAGACCACGCGTCAAAATAACATACTTTAAGTGGTCATAGTGAATAATATTGACCTGTGTATGTTATATTTTATGATCTATAACCTTTGATCTTTAGGAGCTTATCTTTAGTTCAAAGGAAAGTATTTGCTTATATTTTTCACATCTGTTTACGAAAGAATTTGTAGTTTTGTCCTTGATTTCAATTCAATAGAACCATCGATTTACGAAACTCAAAAATCATGTGTAATTTACTCCCATTTCACTTGGAGCTAATTAGCCCTCGTACGTACAAGGAAGAATTCTTAAAAAAATGGACTACTCATCCTTTCATGTCCTTCAGTATTCTACTCACACTTGGATTGAGTCCAACGAATTCCGCTTTGCTTCGACTCATTCGCAGAAAAGTAGCTGCATTTAACATGGGAAAAAATACATTAACAACCGGCCTTAATACCAATTAGAATGTAGATCTAAAAATCAAACGCAGAATTCTTGTTGCCACACTGCAACTATTTTATGCTGAGTAGGCAATTTAATGGTAAAGTCCAAATAAATATGGCTTCAAAGAACTCTAGCATAAGGTCCCTCAGGTCGCTCATCATTCCTCTTACTTTATGGAGAATGATGAATTGTTGACGAAGACGTCATTCGATTAACAAATTTTAGATTAGGCTAGAATCAATACATTTAGGCCACCGAAAGTGTGTTACGGACCCTATTTATCACACAAAATCCCTCTAGCTGTTCATCTGGTAGTAAAACCAAAGAATTTGCTGCTGCTGCCAGAGACTTTAAGCTTTTCTAAAGTACGGACCAATCACAAAAAAAATTTAATTAAGGCAACACTTTCTTCCTCCTTTGCAAAACGGTTGCAGAAGTGCAATTGGTTCCCAAACAGAAGAAAAATAACTACGAGGCATTAACGTGAGTCTTGGAGAGGCGTTATGGAAACAAGCAACACAAGCAAAGTTGATCTGTAAGATGATCAATAATTGTTAATAGCCTTTTTAGCTGTCCTCGTTGGCTCTTTTAAACTTATGTAAGTCACATTGCCTCAATTGGGTATGCTTCATATTGTGTTAGCTTCTGTAATGAAAAGCTCTACTGTTATGAGATTTTAGATGGAGCTTGCGGCATACTAAAGCTCTTCCAAGATTAAGTGTACGAGAAGTGCCTCTCTGACATCTCAGTACCCAGTATGCTATTACGCGCCGACAACTATAACAGGTTAAGTTGTTCAGCTAGTGTACCTACATAGATCAAAGGATGCTATGAAATGATGAAACCTTTAAACTATGGCTTCAGGCAACACTTGAGTAACTTAAGGACCTCATCACCAACCAATGACGACAATACGAGATATTGATGACTTGTAATTTTCTCTACATTCTAAAGTATATCCTAAAATTAATGCTAGATTTATATTAAAAAGAAAACAGCTTGCCTTGAATCGATTACTATTCTGCATTAATATGGTTGAATTTCATTGATCCAACGTTGAAACTCCTCGTTTAAAGAATTTGTGGTTGTGGGCTTGTTATAATAGACCTCTGATTTCAAATGAACTCACAAAATGAAATCTAATGGTGTAAAAACACAAGATCTAGAGGACCAATTCTGATTGCCGAAACGAGAGACTACACTGCTGGGAAATTGAAGTGTTTCTCCGGCTGTATGACATGTAGCACCGTCTTGCGCCATATTGTGGCATTGTGATATCACATCGCGATATCGAAAACCAACTACAGTCACTGCTTGACCAGTCTCATTTTGAAAAAAGTCTGTTGCATTTATGTCTCCAGCCCAGAACAAATTTTGGGGATCAACAAACTCATCATGGTGAAAATGTAATTAATCGCTTCTCATTGACACTCTCAAACACCTCATCGATATTTTCATTTCAACAATTGGTTTGTGGTTTCTCCACTGGATCCTATATTCCGGAATTTTTCAAATGAACCTCTTCACAGTTGACGAGGTTAACGTACTATTCTATTTTTAGCCTGTATCGACTCAATTCCACTAGACATTTCGAAAAGATATTTTTTAATCTAATTGTTCTACACCGCAATAAAGGCGCCTCTATCTGGTCAAAGCTCACACCTTTACCATCTTTAGACAAGAAAAATCAGTGAGAAAAATAAACATTCAAAGTGTCGCTCTCGATTCGTTCTCGATTCGGCATAAGCCTGCATGTGCTGCATCTCATAAACATTTTGGTCTTATTTCAGCAATCTTTTAGTATGCATTTTCAATTTTAAATATTTACTTTATATCTTCAGTCAGCCTTTTTTCCAGAACTTTAAATATTTATTATTCTTACCCCATAAAATAACAACAAAGCATACCACTACCCAGAAAAACCAGATGTACTCGTATAACCTCATCAACACCTAATGGCTTCAAACAATAAATAAAACGAAAAAAAAAAATATTACAAAAATTATTACAACAAAACTCGTACATTTAACACCTCTCGATGTCGTAATTTGTGTATGTTACTTTGGCAATCTACACAAACCCACCACTTACTTTGTACACATTTGAAATAGTGCATTGCTAGAGTTGGTTTTTCTAAAATTTGCGAAAAAATAAAAATCATATGTGTGTAAATAACGACCTATTCAAACATTTTAGGGCGCAACCATCAAAACGGACGAGGAAACGGGCAAGATAATTATAGCGCGTATTATGCATGGCGGCGCCGCCGATCGTTCCGGACTGATACACGTGGGCGATGAGGTGATCGAGGTGAACGGCATTAATGTGGAGGGTAAAACGCCTGGCGATGTGCTGAGCATTTTGGTGCGTGAAGAGAGGCAACGCTCTCTAAAAGCATATAATTTAATATATAATTTATTGTTTTCTTTTTTTCTCATCCAATCCAGCAAAACTCTGAAGGCACGATCACTTTCAAGCTCGTGCCATCGGACGGCAAGGGTGGTCAACGTGAGTCTAAAGTGCGTGTACGTGCGCACTTCGATTATAATCCCGAAACAGATCCGTATATACCCTGCAAAGAGGCGGGTCTGGCATTCCAACGTGGCGATATTTTACATATCGTCTCGCAGGTATTGTAAAGATCAGCGGCGTTTGCAGAAATATAACTCGACTGAATAACTAATAATAACGCTCTCTCTCTCTCTCTCTCTATCTCCCCCCTCTCTCTCTTTCTCTCTCTCTCTTTCTCTCTCTCTCTCTCTCTCTCTCTCTCTCTCTCTCTCTCTCTCTCTCTCTCTCTCTCTCTCTCTCTCTCTCTCTCTCTCTCTCTCTCTCTCTCTCTCTCTCTCTCTCTCTCTCTCTCTCTCTCTCTCTCTCTCTCTCTCTCTCTCTCTCTCTCTCTCTCTCTCTCTCTCTCTCTCTCTCTCTCTCTCTCTCTCTCTCTCTCTCTCTCTCTCTCTCTCTCTCTCTCTCTCTCTCTCTCTCTCTCTCTCTCTCTCTCTATCTCTCACACACAGGATGATGCCTACTGGTGGCAGGCTCGCAAAGAGTCGGAACGCACTGCCCGCGCTGGCCTGATACCGAGCCGCGCGCTACAAGAGCGACGCATTATACACGAACGTTCACAATTTGAGGCGAGCGAAGGCGATTCAAAGAGTGAGTTGTTTTTAGACATAACACACTTGCCAATTAGAAACATTATTTACAACTTCTCTCGAATGGAAATTTCTAATTTTTTACTAAATATAAATGCTTTTTAAATTTAAATTTTTTTCAATTGTGTCCACTTTGCATGACTTTTTCTATATGTGGTGCACATGTTCATGCGTGTAATAATCAACCTAACGGCATTTTCCATCATCAATGCGTACATCATCATGATCATCCACCAAAATATATTTGGCTTTCCAAATTTCTCAAAAAAAAAAAAAAAAAATATATCCAAAACCAAAAACTAACGCATCAACTCCAAATAATTGTCATCAGAGGGCTCTTGCGCTTCCATATGCACCACCCCGCCCGGTACACCCATGTTGCATTCTAGCAGTAGTACCTCCTCATGTCGTCAGCCTAAAACTAAAAAGATTATGTACGATTTGACAGAGAACGATGACTTCGATCGGGAGATGATAGCCACCTATGAAGAGGTTGCCAAATTGTATCCACGTCCGGGCGTTTACCGACCAATAGTGTTGATTGGCGCTCCCGGCGTTGGGCGCAATGAGCTGAGACGTCGCCTGGTGGCGCGTGATCCAGAGAAATTCCGCAGTCCAGTGCCATGTGAGTGTTGAGTTTCATATATTTACTTATGTACATACTTATTATTATATTTATAATCGTTTTTCTTTAGATACTACACGTCCTATACGCACCGGGGAGGTTGCCGGTCGTGAGTATATATTTGTTGCCCGCGATAAGATGGAGGCTGATATTGCGGCTGGCAAATTTATCGAACATGGCGAGTATAAGGGTCATTTGTACGGCACTTCGGGTGAGAGTGTCAAGTCGATTGTCAATGCCGGCTGCGTTTGCGTACTCAGTCCACACTATCAAGCCATTAAAGCTTTGCGTACGGTACAAACGAAACCTTTTATTATTCATATAAAACCACCGGAATTCGATGTATTGAAAAAGACGCGCACGGAGGCTCGAGCCAAGTCGACTTTTGACGAGAGTAATGCACGAGGTTTTACGGTAAGCATAATTGATGAGGAATCTTGTGCTGCATCCACATCAGCGTTTATATTCTAGTTAACCGATGTGGTACATCGGTTTAAGACTCTTACGTTCTCCATCACGTACTTATAACAGCTAGGAACATGGCCAACCATTATTTCACTCCGGTTTCTGCCGCTTAGAAGAGATTTTATAAGCGGATGGCAGGCTCCATTCCTGCTGCTGGCAGATTATTCCCGATGACTTCATTGGAAGCAATCTTAAATGCTTTAGGAAGACCCCTATTGTCAGTCAGCAGGCAGGAACTAAGCCCTCATTGCCCGAGCCTTCTGAGCCGGATTTAGAAAAATATTTTTTATTCTTGGGAACTGAAATGGTACGAATGGTCGGTTTTAATGACCCAAATTGTTTTATATTTGTTATTATGTCTAGTCGGCCATAGCCCAAGCTATCTCTTAAATATTGGAGATCTATATTGCTGAACATTCTGGTAAATGACTAGGTCTTAATGCATTCAGACCACTCTCCTCACATCTTGTAACCTTACACCCGTTACATCAGTGCTAGGCACCCAAAAGCTTTAACTAATGTTTAGCCAATCTTCAAACCCACCACAGTGAGGGCGAAAAGTTGGGAAGACTGTAATATATATATAAATATAAAATGTAAGCTAATTTAATTTTTTTCCCCCAAATTTAGGACGAAGAATTCAACGATATGCTTAAATCAGCTGAACGCATCGATTTTCTTTATGGCCACTTCTTCGACGAGATCATCGTGAATGGCGAACTACTGATAGCCTTTGAGCAGATAATGAATACAGTGCAACGCATTGAAAATGAACCACTGTGGGCACCCGCTGCGTGGGTGCAATAAATAAGATCGCTAAACTGGCTGTGCAAAAACGAAACAAAATGCAAATACCAAACAACAACAAATGTTAGGCAACCAGAAAAAGACAAACACTGCTGATGAAAAACAAAAACAACATATGCCAAAAACTAGAACACAAATAAACATAAATAAATATATACAGAATACTTAATTTTAAATCAATAATAATAATGAAGTAGAAGTTGAAAGAAGAAATTAAATTATGAATTTGTCATGAAAACACCAAAAACTCATGCATAAGATGTTAAAGAATTTTTCGATTTTTCTATGAATAAGTAGTTAACAAATGATGAAATTTCGCGAAATATCACATTTCAAGTTTGGTAGAAAGTCTTCAAATACAACAAAAACTGTGAGTAGCTGATGAATGCAATAATGAATGTATCAAATACACACACACAAACAAAGAAATATAGATATATTCCAAATACAAATTGCTGATGTACAATATTTGAAAGTTAAGAATTCTTCATGTCTGTATATAAGAAAGCCGAATTCACAACAACATAAAAGAAAATTATAAACCAAAAGTGTGAAATACAAGTAAAATATCATAAAAAATTAAAATAATATTAAACAAAACAAAAAAGATTAAAACATATATATTAAATCAACTAAAACCACAAAAAAGTTAAAACAGAATAAAATTTAATAAAAAACCTGGAACGCAACGTAACGCAGTAAAAAAAAATCTAAATAATGTTATATAGATAGAATTAAATAAAATAAAATGNAAATAAAATTAAATTAAATTAAATTAAATTAAATTAAATTAAATTAAATAAAATAAAATAAAATAAAATAAAATAAAATAAAATAAAATAAAATAAAATAAAATAAAATAAAATAAAATAAAATAAAATAAAATTAAATTAAATTAAATTAAATTAAATTAAATAAATTAAAAAAATATAAGAAAAATAGATATGGTAAAATAAAGAAATTATAAAAAATTAAAAAGGTTAAATAAAAAAAATTTTAAAATTAAATTACAAAGAACACAATAATCTAAAATAACCAAAGAAGGCGAACAAGATAGTTTAAAAAAACTGGTTAATAATAAAATAAAAATGATAAAATAAATAGTATAAATAATATCAGATAAAAATAGGCCAAATAAAAATAATAAATAAAATCTAAAAACAAAATACCAAAAAAATATTAAAATAAGTAGCTAAAAAAATTAAACGTAAAGAAAAATAATTAAAATATAAAAATATAAATTAAACTAATATAATTTAACATTAAAGGAAGCAAAATAAAATGGTTTAAAAAATTTAGCTATATAAAAAGCAAATGATAGAATAAAAAGTATAAAATAAATAAAACAAAAAAGAAATTAACAAAATGTAGTAGATATCAAAAATTAAATATTTTGAAATAAAATAAATAAAAACAAAATAAAATACGATAAGGAAAAAATTAATCCAACTGTTCATAATAAAATTTAATTATATTAAATTAAATTAAATTAAAAAAAAATTATTATATATAAAAGTCAAATACGAAGGCAAAATATGTGAGTTTGAAAAAAATCAAAACAAAAAGCTCAAATTAAAAATATGTTTATCTACAAGTTTTTTTGGAAACTAAGTCACCGCGATGGTGATTCTGCAAATTTCGTTTTCGTGTGTCTACAGAGAAGTGTGCGAAAGCAAACCGCAAAACAAAACAAGCCGGCAAAGAGAAAGGAGCTAGTTGAGCTTTTTAACGAAAGCTCTACCTACGTTGCCATTACGTTTGCGGATTAAACAGACTCAATGATAATAATAAATAACAACTATAATAAAGTCAGAAAATAAAGTGAAATAAATAAAGAAATAAGCCTACCAAATTTCAAGAGAAAAATCAAATAAAGAGAAATTAATTTACTTAAAACTAATAATAAAATAAATCAAAAAGTTTAAAAAATAAAAGAAATTAAAATGCAAAAGTAAAAATAATAAAAATATTAAAATACAATTTATGAAAGTAATATTACACAAAATTAAACCAAATCATCCTACAAACAAAATACTACCGATTTTGAAATATTTCGCTGAATTTTTGTCATAGTATTTAAAGAAATTCTAAATATAAAATATAAGAAAATATTAATTGTTTCGCAAAATCTGCTATTGCGTTTCTCAAATACTATTAGCCTTATTCCTATACATGTATGTGGAAATACAAATAAAATTTAAAATTCATTTCGAGCTTAAAAAATTAAAAATTTTTCCAAAAAAAATATTGTTCACTTTAGTTTAAATTTTTTTTAGTGTCGACTAACCGAATTTATATATGCGCGTACTAAAAAATTTCTATTATAAAAGAATATTATGTATTGCCTAAATTTATTCTTAAATAACTGTATGCTTAGATATAATTTTTAACTGCCTAAAATGTGTTTATTTCCTTAAGAAAGTGAATGACTTAATTCTTTAAGACAACTCACTAAATATTTTGCTAAAAACTTCTAAATGTTTGATGAATGGTAAAAAAATTAAAAAAAAATTATGTTATAATTCGCATTTTTGCTATTTATACAACAACATTTTTTTTTATTTTTCCACTATTTTTTTTAACTTAATATGCTTTAGAATTATTATAAAATGCCTAAAAAAATGTATTGAATATTTCAAATTTGGAAGTGAATTAAAAGGCTTTCATTTCAAAACTAAAAAGTAATTACATTAATTTATTTTTTAATTTTTTTTTTACTTTTATTTTTTATATATTTTGTTGGCATACTGAACTGTAGAAATATGGTATTTAATTTTTAATAATTATTTTATTTTCGAACAAATAAGGTACCTACACTTAAGCGATAACAATGAAAAAGAAAACAATAATAAGAGTTAAAATTAATTTTGTTCAGAAAATTATGTAGGTCCATAAAAACAAACATAAAAAATGTAATTAAATTTTTATTATAAAAATAACATGGTATTTAATTTGTATGTACAATAATAATAAAAAGCAAAAATTGTCCAAATTATGAGAAATTATTTACATGCATAAATATATTTACAATATATGTATATAAAATGATAAATTTAACATTAGAGATCCTATTATAATCTATTATATTTCAAAGTAAAAACACATGCATATTCTTATATTGTGAAATGTAATTAAATGTTATCAATATGAAAATGTTGAAATGGAAAATTTATAAAACAATAAAAGAGAAGCAAAATGTTAATAAATGTTAAAAGAAAACATAAAATCAAATACAGTTATATTTAGTTTATTACTCATACATACACACATAACAACATTATCCCAAAAAAAAATTAAGACCGCATTAAAAAACTACTTTTCAAGAAGTATTTAGTAAAAAAAAATATTTATATCAATAAAATGTCGAATACATACTTACGTTTATCATTACAAATTTTTGAAAATGTTTAAAATAAAACGTTTTGATTATTGCCTTTTCATTAAAATAAAAATAAATATAATTTATAATGTAATCTCCAATCCTGCTCTTCTATTAAACATACAAATATACCTTCAATTTTTTGTATACGATTTCTGTACAAAAAGTTTTGCTATATACCTAAATACATATATATAAAGAAAATTACAAACATGCATACACATTTGTTGTAAAATTAAACAATAGAGAGCAAATACAGCATCATTTACGTGTAATACAACTTATATACATACATACATACATACAATACATGCTACATATTGTTGATGAAGTTAAGAAAGGTTCCAGTTGAAAATTTTAAATGAATGTCAGATTAAAAAAAAATATGTTTTTATTTTATTTAAAACAAAAATTTAAAAAATAGTGGATTTTGGGCTGCACTTAATTGATAAGATTTTACTTTTTTTGTACAATTTACGAATTTCTAAAAAAAGTGTTTTGCTATCATTTTCGCTCTAGCAGCAACAAAAATGTAAATAATATATTTGTTACTTCAAAACATGAAATATAATTTATTAACAGTTGGAACCTTTCTGTCAAAGATATACATACATAAGACCGCATACTTAAATACAGATGGAAGAAGATTTTTGTTAATAAAGAAGTTATTCAAATAAAATAAATTAATTTTATTTTCTTCGAAATTTCATTCATCCCCTATCAGGTAACGTATTACAAATTTTTAAGTATTTATATCCAACAATTCATTTTATGGGCCATACATTATGCAATATTCTGTAATTTTATCGCAGCGTTCGAGTCCTGGCTCAATCAATATCCAACAAATTTCCAAAAATGAGGCGAAGACCTCCTTCATTTCGCATTTGACGGGACGCTGAACTGACATTGTTCACGAAAAATGTTGCCGTTCTGACAGTTCTCAACGTCAAAGCTAACATGATTCGAAACTCTTTTTCGGGTGAAAGCGCTCTAAAAACTCACATTTTTTATAACATTTTGCAACAAATTTTCTGTGCTTTTCTGACAAAAAAAAGGTGCTTTTCGTTATAAACCAAATGGTATGGCGGCTTCTAAATGAGCACATGTTCAAAGTTCCTTCATTTGTTTTTGTGACCAGCCCAGAAGCAATAACCGAGAAACGCATTTAACTGTAATATGTAAAAGTTTCATATCATGATATTTTTGTTAAACGTACTGTCCACGAGCCGGTCTCTTTGCAAAGGTGAAAAGTCTGGCTACACTATCAAACCAGGCAGTGAGAGCTTCAGTGCACGATACTCCTCGTTTTAAGGCGCCATCAGACACAGCAATCAGTTGATTTCAAAGTGTAGGGCGTACTGAGTATAAAAAATTTATTGGAAATGAATTTCAATTTCAGGAAATTAATCTGAACGTGAATTTGTGAATTAAATTTTTTTTTTGGTCACACTGCGCAGTTTTAATTTCATAGTAATTTCTATTCGCCTCCACCTGGTGGGAACTTAAGTTTTTATGTGAGAAATTGTGACTTCGTAATAAAGCTGGATGTCGGTGAAGGCTAGTTAGATAAGCTGTCCATCCCACCTGTGGTCGAACTTCCAGCGACACTCTGGTTTTTGGTTTTTTGACAGAAAGCTCCTATCAACGGTCTGTCAGGCAATGCCTCAAATATCTAAGTAGTGTTACGGTTGATATACCCACACTGAATAAGGTTAGAAATGAGCTCGTGAACATTTTTACACCAAATATCATGTTTCATGCATTACTGGTTGTAAAATCCATTGTTGATGACTTAAATTTTTATTAAATTTTGCAAAAATGTCAACACACAATTCTGTTTACGATTAACTGCTCGGTTTAACTCTGACCTTAAGCCGATAAATCCAGTTCTTTAACACAAAAAATCGATGAAAACTCTTTTTCGAGAACAAAACCGATATATAATTGGAGCTTTGTAACCACTGAAGAGATTTTCCGCCGAGCTCCTCCACCAATTTGTGGTTTTGCGTCTTGATATTTCTCCAACAAAATGGGGACCTACAGTTTATACTTAGCGGCCTCCGAACGGCTGATGGTTTCTTATGAGAAATACACTGGGGTTGACCGATAAGCAAATCAATATTCCAAGATGATTCTGCAACACCCCTAATTCCAACTGGCATGCAGTAAATTAATAAATTTATATAAACATTTATATGTAAATATATTATATATATGAATAAACAAACAAAAAAAACAGAATAGCTTTTCCGATGAGTATTTAAAGTTTTTTTAGTTTAGTTTTAGTTTAGTTTTAGTTTGACTTTGAAAAGAAATTGTCGGAGAACTTACAATAATTATGATTGTATTCGCCTAAATCTAAAGAAGCTGTCAAGGCTCACTTTATTATTTAAATAATTTTATTGGGAACTGTAAACATTTAAAGACAAAAATAAATAAGTAATTAAATATGCAGGCAAATGAAAGCTTTTCAACATCACTCTCTGTCTCTTGCACTCTCTCTCTCTTTCTCTCTCTCTCTATCTTTCTCTTAATTCAAGTAAGTGCTCAGTAACCACAGCTGATCGATAACCGTATATTGATACAATAATTTAAAGGTAGTTTCATTCTCTCTTCGCAGTCGGATTCATTGCTATCTGACACTAAACTTGTTTCGGCTTTTTAGTGCTACCTTCTTCTCTTAAAGAAATATACAATTTTCAAATAAAAAAATGTGTAGAGAATTTTCATATTTATTTTAAATGTTTATATTGTATTTGATAGTGGACTTCATCGAGTTATCCCCTTCATAATTTTTGTATTACAACTTTAGTAAATAGTAAGAAAATTCAAGAAGATGAGGATCTGGCTGGATACGCTATATCTACGTTTGAATGCAAATCAATCTCAAAGTTTGAGAGATGTTTCAAGCAAATAGTATGCTGTTTTAATATTTGTTGATTATTTAGTGCAGTGCAAATTCATTATGAAAATCTCATAATTACGCTTGAAGTCGAGTAAACTTCCAAACACTTTTGAATGCAATGTAGACGCCAAATACATTGATCTTAGTCAGATAGTTTGTTAAACAGCTTGATCGATCACGGAACCTTGGTCTCTTGATGATAACTATACTGGTTCTGTGTAGAAGATTCCTCTCACCTTTCAGATGTTCAAGCCAGTTAGTGTATTTTACAAAGTTCAGGTGATTAATGATGCTTAGCAAATAAAGAAGAAACCGTTTACCGCGGTCATGACTATCCCTATCTGGTCAGCTCATCAGCACCGCAGCTCCTCGGGGTGCCCCTATAAGCAGGTAGCCGAACCATGGGCATTTGCCATATATTCGAGAAAACCTTTAGGCCTGTGTCTTGAAAAAAAAAATTAAAAAATGTCAACTCTTTCCATTTTATTATAATATTTTTATTTATAAAAAATAATCTAGCATATCCTTTTCTTACTTTCGGCCCCTTAGAAGAACGGCTTGACACAAATATTTTAATAGATCCATACGTGTATTCAATATTAAAGCATCTGCTTAAAAGATAACCCCAAAAATAATTAAGAAATCACTAAGTTGAAAATTTTATAAATATCAAAAACAAACATTTCTGAGCAAACACGTTTAGTGTCAAAAATTTCGAAGTGAAACTATATTATAGAATCTTTATATCACGTTGCTTTTTACATAGTCATATGCGCTCTATGAAAAAGAGTGAAATTTACTCTTGCTCTAATATTAAACCGTAAACGACAAACGCTCTTCTCCACAGCAAGTAAATAATAAAAATAGAGCGCATAGAAATAGACGTCACATAAAGTTTAAACAAAAGCTAAAATGCCGACTCTCCCTACGCCTCTAACACTGCAACGCTACCACCCAATTGACGGGCGCAATCTATAGTCTAGAAATGATCATTCGTTTGCGAGCAAGCGACGGTATTGGTGTGATCAGCATTGACGAAACCGTGTGAAAATTCCACAAGTTGTTACGATAATAAAAAATTTTTTATATATTTGGGTATTAATTGAGAGCAATTGTATTAGCCAATTTAATCAATATTCAATAATAAATCAGTCATAAAAAATATCGTGTCTCGAAGAAAATGTCCGATTTCAATTTGCACAGCTTGGAAGAGTGTCTGGAGAGCCATATACCACTAAATGAATATAAAGAGGTTAAACGCATTTTGTATGGCACGACAGAAGAGTAAGTGAATTAGAGACAAAATAAAATTAAATTTTAATTGCATATGTACATATGTTTGTTATTATTATTACGTGGGATGTATGTATGTACATACAAATGGTTTAAATCAGATGACAATATTAAAATGAAATTAAGCAGTTGAGTGCATGCAAACATTTATAACGGTGAATTTGGTTTAAATTATCTACGTCTTTAAGTAAAGTCTATCATTTTAATGTTATCAGTTATATGCGTTTCAAAGCTCCATACTTACATACATATTTAGTACAATATAACATTAGCTTATCAACAGTTTTGATCTTTTCTCTTATTTGATGTTCGGCGGATTGTTGAGATATGAAATATCACTCTTGCCAGTGATTTAACTACTACATAAATACATACTTTTAAATACATATATTTATATATATGTTTATGTATATATATATATAAATATCTGCTTTGGCTTGCAGGTTTGTATGTGTGCCACATCTATTATTAGTGGCGCTCAGCGCACCTCCAGCGGCGTCCTTTGTTTTCGTTGTATGTACATATGTTTTTAAACAAATTTTTTTGGTTTGTTATGTATTCATAAATGCCTGGTAGGGAAAAATACTAGTTTCGAACTATAATTCAACTAGTTTATATTGTTCCACCAACTATTTAGTTCATCTTCTTTCTATTTTCCCATGTAAACAACTGGTATTTTTCACACGATAACCTACGAACAGTTAATTATCAATATATGCTTCAACTTCATACTAGTTAAATACCAGTTCACACATGCCTGTTAATATACCTGTCCGCTCATAATCGCTGAGAGCTAGTTCGCTTCATACTAGTCAAAAAGCAGTTCGATTGATTTTGGCATTACAAACGGTTGAGCAGCGTGTTCAGGTAGATTTAAGAACGGTTTTGAAAAACTCCTACCTCGGCAAGTTGACTAGAGACCGACATATTTCAGAAAAAAACTCACTTGTGGTTCACTCTACTTTAAATTCAGCATAAAATTTCTTTCCAGGAAGTGGTGCAGATATCGATCTATGCTTTCGAAGCTTAACTTGAACTGTTCATCGTTATTTATATTTAAACAAAATACGCCAAAACCGCAATAATATGTGGTTGTTGTTGTCATTGTAGCGGCATGTCTAAATATATTTTGACGGAGCTTCTTGCTACTTATGAGTGGTGTTATTTATTACAAAACGACAAATGGGCGTGAATTTGTCCGCTGCATACTAGTTCATATACTAGGCTTATAGCAAACTAGTCCAGTCTTCAATGAATAATTGTAGTATTACTCTATATAAATAATCTCTAGTCAAATTAGTACATTTTTGTCCATTAAATACTAGAATAATTCTGGTTTACAACAAACTAGTATGATTTTGCCTTCAAAATACCAGTTTTTCACTAGATTTTTTTTCAAAATATTTAGTTAGCTTTTCTCTATAGGGTACGAGCACAATACTCAAAGGCATTTACGAGTTTATATATGTAAAATGAAGAGAATTTGAAAATTTTTTGTTTGTAAATAAAACATTGACTTTTGCGCGTGCAGATCTGTGTATGTATATGCATATATGTACACTTTTGTATGCATGTTAAGTTATATGTGTGTACATATATATACATAAGTTGATAACTTGCTGACAGAAAATAAGATAAGTATTCTTATCTAAGCATGCTTACGAGTATACATACATATGTACCCTCAAATATATAAATATTAGATTATCATTTTGCCCTTACTATTTAACAGCAAATATACATTTTGCGAAACTTTTTCTTAACGGCTTACTTTAGCAAAACCTTAACCTAACACCTTTGAGATGAAGTATGTAAGTATCAGAAGGAGAAAAGTTAGACACATCCAAGTGTGTAACTCTCAGATCAGAATGAAGAGTTGAGTTGGTTCACTCATAACCTTCTGTCCGTCTGTTTCGACGCAAAATAGTCTCTTTTTTTGTGGTTGAAATGTTGGTTGTATCTGGAACAAAAATGAACTGTTATATTTGAACAACCATTTATTGAGACCGGCCAGATTCACCATAACATATATACAACGGATTTTTTCGCCTTGAGATTTTGGGTAGTAAATCTGTACAAAAATTATTTGCGAGCCTAAACAAACCTGTTCGATTGATTTTGGCTATATAAATGCAGGAATTAAATATTGGCACTAAAAAATATCGAAATCGGACGACTTTAACATATACAACACATAACTTGCATTCACGAATTATTCAGATAAGAGGCTTTGGTCAAAAGTCTCTGTAGAAAAGCATCTAAGAGCTTGAAAGTTTTTTTGTCATGCTTTCAAATATATAAAATTTTCCAATAAGAGACTATATTTTGAAATTCAAAGAGTGTAATTTTCTGAGATAGACAATGCCATTAATAATGGTAAATAATATCAGTTAGATGACCGCAAGGCTTACGCTTACAGGACCATGACATTTTTAAGAAATTTCACATCACCAAATCGCAAAGTGTATGCGCTGTAAAAGCTTCACGAATTTCAACTTTGAGGTCTTGAATTGACGTTGGCCTGTTGGCGTAGACCTTATCTATCACGTGGTCTCAAAGGGAGAAGTCGCAAGTTGTTAAATCACAAGACTCCGGTGGCCAATTGCGATCACCTCTTTGAGAGAAAAGACATTGCGAAAACTTTTCCCTTAAGAGATCGATGGTTTGTTGCTTGTGTGGCGTTGTCTTGTCGAAAGGAAGCGTTATAAAAAGTCACTTTTCATCGCTCTATAACGCAATCCAGTCACCGTAATTGTTGATCCAGCATCATTTTCGAAGAGGGAAAGTCCAATAACCCTGCCGGTCCATAAACGTAACGGCTATTTTACAATTAATCTTGAGTTTTCCAAGCCTCAGATGCGAAAGTTTTGCTAATTTACGTAGTCATCGAGGTGGTCATGGGTCTTGTCAGTTAATATGATTTCTCGTTGAAGTTACGGTTCACTTCCATGTATTTCAAGGGCCCTATATATAAATGTATATATATACATATATACTTCTTGTTTGTTTGAAACCGAAAATTATAAATAAAAATATTTGAAGTGGAAAATTCAGTGAAATAAAATCTGAAAATTTGAAAATAGCAATTTACAAATGTTAAAGTAGATTCCTACAGACCCCATCAGCAACGACACGACGTTGTTGTTGATCGGCCGAGTTAAGTTTTTATATAAACTGAGCTTTATAAGCCTTAAGGTCCAAACCTTTATGGAAAATGAGAAGTAATAACATTTGAAAGCCCAATAACAAAGAACAACGAGAAATGGGCAAGCTTAGATTTCTTCAGCACTTTGGGCTACAGTTGCTCTTGAGCGACATTCAATGTGCTTCACCATTCAGGAAATGTTGTCCGGCCAACGTAGCGTATCCTCTACATCGCCGAGGGGACTTTCTTCCGTACAGTAAATGTATATAAAACACTATGTGTACAGTTCAACGTTTAATTCGGGAGTACTTCGCCCAAATAATATGGACGCTACAAATGTATCTATACTAACAGAAGCATGGTTACAAACTCAGCGTTGTATTTAAATGTACTACTTCAACACTTTCTCTCGAAGACTCCTAGAGCCGACTCATCAGATGTTGGCATCGAAGCGCCATATAGTAGGACCAGTTGTTTGTGCAGAGAAGATTTTACTGTTCAATTGCCTATTCAGTCCAGAGTAGCACTTTTTGGCAAGAGTGATTCTATATTGGATTTCCAGACAGACATTAATTTTGGAGTTAATTCGAAATTATAGCTTTTATTATTATATTGTCCAGCACCAAATTGAAGAAGAAATCACACAATAAAGAGTCATCCTGTCTGAAACTTAGAGCGGCTTGGGGAGGTCCTTCCCAATTCTGACTGCGATTCCGGTGTTGTCCAGTGTGTGCGATATTAAGCAGGCTTAGGTTACTCTAGGTGAAAGAAGCTCCACCTCTGTCACTATCCCTCTGGAATTATTTTGCCTTCTCAGAGAGCAAAGCGATCATTTGTTTAGCAGTTGTTCTCAATGATCTGATACTAAAGGAGTTATGGTTGGTTTTGTTCAATAATAATGGTGATAATATCTAGTAAATATTCTCTTGAAGGAGACTTTCCATGAGTGTGTTTTATGGGAGGACACTATTAATAACTCTGAAGTGTCTGTGCGCCAAATCGCTGTTCCCGTAATTTGGTCGGTTGATTTTTTTCTATGGTGATGTTGGAGTATTAAGTGCTGAAATAAACTCTATCCGAAAAACAAAATATTTGCCTTTATCCTGTAATTTATATTAGGCTTAGTAAAACTACAATCTTTACACTCTTCTTTACAGTCATGTCTTAAATCTACCAACAGCCGCGATCTCCTTAGCTGCTGATTATAATTTTGAGATAAAGGCATATGGTATACCAGCGCGGAAGGAGGAGATACGTAAACCACGCAAAGTGCGTGTGGGTGCCATACAGAACTCCATTGTACTATCCACGAGCGCGCCGATTGATAAGCAACGTGAAGCTATATGGGAGAAGGTGCGTATCATAATCAAGGCAGCCTCAGCAGCGGATGTGAATATTATTTGCATGCAGGAAGCTTGGAGTAAGTCTGCACAAGCAACCAAAATTTATTTTGTTTTTAATATTTGTATCTCTTCACCAACCAGCCATGCCTTTTGCATTTTGCACACGTGAAAAATTCCCGTGGTGTGAGTTCGCCGAAGACGCAGAAACTGGACCGACAACAAAAATGTTGCAGGAGCTAGCCAAAGCCTACAATATGGTTATTATTTCGTCGATACTCGAACGAGATACGACACATGGTGATACCATTTGGAATACGTCAGTGGTTATATCGAATCATGGACGTTACATGGGCAAACATCGTAAAAATCACATACCACGCGTTGGTGACTTCAACGAATCCACCTACTACATGGAGGGCAATACGGGTCATCCAGTATTTGAGACAGAGTTTGGTAAAATAGCCGTGAACATCTGCTACGGACGTCATCATCCACAAAATTGGATGATGTTCGGTTTGAATGGTGCCGAGATCGTTTTCAATCCATCTGCCACAGTGGGCGCACTCAGCGAACCGCTATGGGGTATTGAAGCACGTAATGCCGCTATCGCCAATAGTTACTTCACAGTTGCCATTAATCGTGTGGGTACCGAGGAATTCCCCAATGAGTATACATCGGGTGATGGACAAAAGGCACATAGAGCATTCGGTCCATTTTATGGTTCATCTTATGTGGCGGCACCAAATGGGGTACGCACACCGGGCTTATCCCGTCATCGTGATGGTCTACTTATCGCCGAGCTGGACTTGAATATGTGCAGACAGGTTAAGGATTTCTGGAATTTCCCAATGACACAACGACTGCCATTGTATGCTGAATCGTTTCAACGTGCCTCACAGTTGGACTTTAAGCCGCAAATCATAAGGGAACAGTGAGTAAGGCATTTACATATCCGTATGATGTGAAATTCCTTTAAAGTAGTTACTTTTTAAAAAAAAAATATGTGAGCTTTTGTATTGTGAATTTGAAAATATTGTATTATTTATAAAATAAATTTCCTGGAACTGAAAAAAAATTCAATATGAGTTATCTCAGTAATCGGGAAGAAGAGAAGAGTCTCACAAAACAAAAACTTTCCCAGCCATCTGAGTGCTAACACCACCAGAAAAAAATGAGTAAGAGGTATACTGCTGGTCACTGTAGAACACTTTCCTGAAGCAATGTCGAGATGCTTATCGAATCAGATAGTTTTCCTTAAAGCAGACATATATGTATGTATCTTCCGCTTTGCACAACTTTGCAAACCTTTCCTTTTTAAACCTACCTTTGTTTACATCCACTTATCTCTGGCAATCGGATGTAGCTTTCAAGATCTTGGCTGTAATCGGTACCCTGTTTTTGGTTGCCTCGATCCGTACGCCACTTCACTAACTAACGCAGATGACAGAATGAGAACGTACTACCAGGTGAATCATCATCGATTTCTTAACAAACCTTAAAAGCCAGTTAGTCCTCACGAAAGCATAGAGCGAAGAGAATGATAGTCCCCGTTTGGTGCCAAGCAACGCAATCAGTTTAAAGACAACTTAAACTTGGAAGAACTGCAGTATAGGGTACGCTAAAATAATATCTCTTGCTGAGGTGCCGAAGGAGCTGGGCTGCACCACCACTAGTTCTTCGATAATATTTCCCACGTGAATCCATAACAGAAATGATTGGGAAGCCAGCAACGCCCTCGGTCGGGGAGTCATCCCATCAGTCAGCCATCTTTACGGGTGACTCAATGGTCGATAACAAAGTCGGCTATTGAATCTAAACTTAATAATATGAGTATGTGACTACCAGACCACTATGACGCCTTCCAAGCAGAACTCCTCGCTATCATGGAAGTCGCCGAGTCGCTACTCAAAACTAGGACAATCGTTGCGATACATTCCAACAGTCCAGCTGCTATAAGGTCTCTACAATTTAACAGTACCACATCAAAAGTGGTTGTAGAAGAGACAAAGAAGAGGGGCAGATCACTGTGCCAGCCCCACAAAATGGTCCGAACTTTTGAGAATGTGAAGGTAGACGCCTCACAGCTTAAGGTTTTACTAAACCTTTTTTCGAGGGCCTTTGACAAAGCCTCAGTCATCGAAGAACACGTTGCACTTGCATACTCTAGCTACGCTAAGCCTAGGAAGTTCGTTAGCCGAGGTTATTTTCATCAACCCATAGACCAAAACTCTTTTAATTGTACTATGCCAATTAAGTAAATATTTAACTGGAAGTAAATTGTCTTCAAAGATTTTTTTTAATTTCATGCATTTCGCATTTTATTTATTAAATATCGACTGAGTAGTAACCCTGTAAGCGCTTAGCCTCTCGTATACCCGTTTCCACCGCGCCATGTACCGTACCAAAGTAGTAATCGTGTGTAGCTTCCCCGGCAAATTGTACTATCGGCTTCACAGATAGACCGCCTCTCACAAGCGAACTCATGCCATAAGTTGGTGCGTCCGCCAGAACTGTAATCGGTTGCGCCAACTCTGCTGCCGATGTAGCGAGTTCTTCGGTTTTTAGGGAACGAAATGAAAAAGAGCCGCAAAAGTTCGGATTAGTATCCCATGTGGATTTAATGAATTCAACCGTGTTGGGTATATTCCATTGCGGTAAGAAGCGTCTTAATAAATACAAACAACCACCAATCACGTCAATATCAGCCATTTGCTCGACTTCTGATATATGAGAGCCAACAAGCCATCCGACGAGTACACATGGCTGATTTGGTACTCTATAAAATCCATAGATATCCTCCAACCACGCGCGAGTACTGCCACGCACCTCAGCCATATCCTCATCGCGCCAAAGCAAAGCAAACCCGGACCAATGACTATTCCAAAATGGCTTGGGGAATTCAAAGAATAATTTCATAATACTACCGAAGCCCAAACCATCGATGGCATTCAATTTTGCTGCTGGTAGTTCCGGACTAAACAACTGTTGCGCCTTTTTCTTCAGTACACCCAGTGGTACTGTTACTATAACATGATCTACTAGAAAGGCAGCGCTTGTGTTCTCACAAGTTACCTCCACTTTGTAATCTTTGCGGTCCCAAATGATCTCTTTCACACGTATGCCGAAGAGAATTTTATCCTCGAGTACGCCTAAATCATTGTGCAGCTCATCTGCACGCAGCAGGGTACGTAGGAACTGCAAAAAACCCTCTTCGAAGTGCAACAAATAATCACCATCACAGGTCGCATAGCTTTGAAAACCGCGACCAGATATTTCGTCCACACCTGCAGATGTTTCAGAGCGTTCAATTTTGAGGAAATTCTCAAAAAATTCTTTCGCCACCACATAGCTCACATCCTTGTACTCCTCATCAGAAAGCATCTTGTAGAAATTCTTCGAGAGATACTCACCGAGTGTACCCTCGAATGTTGGCAATTCGTTGTTGCGCTTAGCAAATATCTGTGCGAGTAAAGTTTTCAATTTTTTCACAACATCATTCGGCACCAATTCGCCGTCGGACCGTATACAATCGAAATTCGTATAGATGGCACTTGACGAACCCATCAGATTTCTGCCTTGTGCCATTTGATAGACGATGTTACCCTTCTCGCCATGACACCATTGTGCGCCCAATTCCACAATGTTATGACTAAAGGATTTCGTGTAAATTCGTCCGCCGATTCGATTCTCTGCCTCGATAATTGTAACACACTTAAAGCCCTTCAACAGTAGTGACGCAGCACAAGCTATACCGGCAGCACCAGCGCCGACGATCAGGAATTTTGGTTCTAAAGAGGGTTTCTTTCCGAAATTAGTCGCATGCACGAATGCTTCACTGCCGACGCTCGAAAAGCTGTCCGTTAGACTGGTTAAGCTTTTTTGCGTCGGTAAAATACACATATCAACAGACAAATGACCCGACAATCAATTTGGTATTGAATATATGAATATTTATTCTTTTGACATGAATTTATCTAGGAAAATACTTATTGTGAACGAAGTTCTAAGAAAGTCATATTCAAGTAGAGAATATTAACAAGAAATCTCAGGGTTTTAGAAAAGAAGTATTATACTTATTTGTGCGGTAAAGACTTTAATGATTTTATTAAACTGAAAGAGACGGAACGAGTATTTGTTTTAAGTTCTCAGAGTTTTCCTCTGTGTTTTCATCAGAAAATGGTTTTTGCGGAAATTGGGACAGTCCATTATCCTCTTTGACTTTAATTAACTCTAAAATCTTAAAGTCTTCAATGACCTCGGCGCAAGACTAAGTTTACATGAGCATATGGTTGCTAAGACCGACTGGAGTTCTAATGATTTTCTTGTCTTTTGTCTATCTTTTGAGGGAAAACGATAATCTTATTTGCTCTGTCAAAAACAGCTAGGCTTTCAATAGCGTTGGCGATAACTCGCTAACAAGATCATGATATAATTGCAATCCTTCGCAGGATATGTTCCAATTTCGTGTCCTGTCGGGCTTATTTCCAGTTTGATAAGTACGCAGTGGCCAGTCTTTATACGGCCGACTCAACTTAAGTCCTCAATACAAGAGTAAGCAGTCTGTAAACTTAGGTTAAATATACCAGTTATAGAAGTATCTGCCGAAACTTTCCACTTTTTACGCCCAATCTTTGTAGTGGTATTTGCTATGGAACAAGATACCCCGTTTCCGTCAACTGATCGAACAAATGATTTTCCGTCATTTTTGAGTGACGGTCTGTTTCATAAATTTTAATGCCTTTATACTAGTGGTTAGAATGGAGTACTATCATTCGGAAGGTCAGGGCGTGAATCCAATTCTGGTTAACATCCAAAATTTTAGGAAATCAATTATTCTAATTGCGGTCGCCTCTCAGCAGGGATCTCAAGCACTGCAAGTATATATCTGACGTGAAAAAAGTTTCTTATAAAAATCCATCGGCTTTTCGGTAGCGGCTTAGAATAAGTTGGGTCCAAAAATTGCTGCAAAACATCACGACGCAATTCTGCCTCTCTGCCGATAATTTCTATAAAAAATGGCTGACACAGATGTATAAATAAACTTTCCCCCATGTACTACACCATTTATTTTTGACTGATCTGCATCACATAAATGTCAGCCCTCTCTTATAGAAGAAGTTGCTCTCTACACGGAGAGACAGAAACAGTTATCACTGAAGCAATTATGAGCGCTAAGACATAATAAAATATTAGGTAGTGGGTTCAAGAACAATTTTTGTGATCTTTAAACAGTGATTTGACTAGCGAGTGAGGTTAAAGGTATTTCTAACAGTATTAGAATGGATGACTGCCGACCACTGCAAGCGAACCTAACCTATCAGTTGGTTTGTTTGGCCATTAGTGACGGACTAGAAACCGGGGGGCTATAGGTAACAAACAATATAATTGTCCTTTGGGCTTTCTACAAGAATGCTACAAACATTCATATTCTGCATAGTATGGATTCATAGGTGGAGGCTTGATATTATTGGAATAGATAAGCCTGAGGTCATGCGTGTGGTAGAGCCTATAGTTTTTAGAGTGAATTCCTTCGCAAAGAGCACATTTGACATTTGCAGTTCATTTTATGCATACAGGCTTTCTACCGTACTTCTGACACAACAAAAACATCTCTAATTATTATTGATTGAAAAAAAGAAAGAAGAAGACGGACAAAACCACTCAGTGCTGATATAGCATCAATATATGAGGGGATTAACAAAAGTTCTGTTAGTTGGTGACTTTCAATTTGTTTTTGTTAAATCTAAAAATGTCAAATCCTTTGCAATTACTTTATCAGTCTTCCTTTCAAATTTTAGAACAATCGGCTAAGACGGAGACGAGAAAACGCAAGATAGCTGAGGATAGCTCAGGCGATATTCCACTAACAAAGCAAAAATAAATTCGCCATGTGATTTTCTTCGAGCTTCAGCATAATTTACAGCCAATACAAATATTCAGTAAACACCAAATTGCATATGAAACGATTGCACCGCCTTTAAAGACTATTTCTAAGTGCTTCCAAAGATTCCAAACCGAATATTTTTCTGTAAATGACAAGCTCCGCGAAGGTGACATCACATCACTGTCCAAAACTAACGAAAACCCGCGATTGACACGACACAAGAAATGATTTCTAATGAATTGGGCTTGAATGCAATGGCTGTGTCGCGAATATTAAGTAATCATCTGGGATACACGAAGAAATCTGCTCCATGGGTACCACGAACTTTAAATTAGGCCAAAAAAGAGGCTCGAGTGCATTTTGCTCAATTTTTCCTTAACAAATTCGGTTAGTCTAGTAACTTTATTAAAGTTGTAACTGGTGATGAATCTTGGTTCTATAAGAACGATCCAGAAACTAAACAGTAGTTCATGGTATGGAGCCCAGCAAGAGCAAACCCACCCGTAAAATCTAAGCAATAAAAGTTAGCAGCGAAAGTGATGATGTCAGTTTATTTCACGCGATCTAAAACCGTAGCTGCTGTTCCACAGGAAAAGTACCAGACGGTAACTGCAAAACAGTATGTCGAAGAGCGTTTACCAAAAGTTTTCAAAAATTTGTTGGAAAACAGAAGGAAAGAGGATTTGCCGCGCTACTTTTTACATCATGACAACGCGCCATTCCACACTGCTGAAATAATGAGCAGTTCTATAGCGAGCTCTGAGATCGAAGGAATACGTACACGACCATATGCCCCAGATATAGTGCCTTGCGATTTCTGTTTATTTCCAAAAATCCCTTTGAATGTGCTATGCAATCAACGAACAATCAGTTTATTGAAGGAAACTTCTTGGTTGGTCTGTTGTGTGGCCTTAAAGGACAGTGCGAATTAGTCCAAGGGTGCATCTTTTGTGGATTATGTGAAGTCGCTTACTTACGCAGATAAGTTTGAGACAATTGACACATACGGCCACAATCGAAGATTGGCTGCAATTTATTAGAGCGAGCCACGGCGTTCAGATGTCCGAAATAATTATTACCTTATCTTTATAATAAACCTTAATTCTTGGCCATAACATCAAATTGTATTTATTTTATTTATTATTTATTTCTTCTAAAAACACCCTTTACATATATAATCAAAGCCGATGAAATGGCTCTTCTTTCAAAGCGAGAGTAATATCATAATAACACAATGGACTTGTTTTTGTCTGTAGCATAAAATATTACGTACAACATCAGCAACCATTTCGCTCTACTTACCTAATAATCGACATTTTTCAAGGCGATGCAGCCTGAATTGAAAAAAATTTCAATCATTTCGGTGAAAACATTTGGCAATGTTATCACTTAAAAAGTTAGCAAAATAAATTTTATTTCGCTTTTACCAGAAACGAAATGTCGCTATTAATGTTAAATCGTTTACAGATAATGTTAAACGTTAACATTGAAGTGTGCTGTTAACATCATAGCAAGCAGACATTTTAAAATTAACACTAATGATGAGTCTGATAACATAGCGCTAAAACAAAAACAAAAACAAGTCATTAAGTTTTTTTTTTCATATTAAGAAAACTTTGGTAAAGCATCACCGGTATTTTCTTATATAAATTTTTTTCAGTCGTGTTTTTTCATTATATCATTTCATTTTATTAATCGCATAAAGTGTACACTAAAATCTGTAGAACTTGTCTCGAGCAAAAATATTGTATTCTAGTTTGAGCTTTTATCGGCTCAGATATTACATTTTCAGATATTCATACTACGTACTAAAGATAAATTGTTTTCTTTTCGTTTTTTTTATTTTTACGCTCTTAATGCTTCTTTTAATAAATATTTTGTTGCTATGATTTAAAAAAACTTGCAGCTTGCAAACAGTATAATTATTGGTATTAAAAGGAGTATGGATTGTTTAACAATCAAGCTCAATATTATTTTGCCTTCAAATATCTTATAGTTTATAAATAGATATAGTACATTTGTAAGTATATATGTAGGTATATTCAATATGTAGGTATGTATATCAACCATTGTTTGAGTTTGAGTTTAAATTTTCATATTGTGCCTAAGTACATACATACATAGTACATATGTATGCACATATGTTTGTATATAATAATTACTATTTATTTATATATAGCAAAAAATGATTATAGCGTCTTTATACTTGGTTTTTAGTTAAATATTTACTGTAATTTACTTTATTTAAATTGCATGGCAACTATAATTTGAGCGGCTTGAGACCGATGCTTAATTTTAAATATTTATTTTTATTTTTATTTATATTTTTTATTTATATTTTTTATTTAATTTAAAAGGCCGAATACGAACTGAAAAATAATAAATCGTTAACAAAAGAAAATTTGCACAGCACTAAAATGCTTCTCGATTTGTGTATGCCTAGAGGCGATCAAAACTTCATATGTATATATATATATTTATATGTATGTATAATAAATACAATATATTGTCGATTGCGCCGAGGTGTTGCAATGAAACATCTATATATGTATGTATGTATGTGTATGTATACAATTTTTAAGCTGTGCCGCATTTTAACCACTACCATTTTTTTAATTACTTAATTATCATTTTTTTATAAAATATAATGAGGTTCTGTAGATTCTTTACAATTATAAATATGATTAGTTTAATAAAATTATTACATTTTCAGTTTTGTTGTGTCTTTTTCTTATATCTGATATCATCGGAAGTTGAACTGTAGCGTCTTGAGTGTGTTAAAATTTCTATATTTTTATATAAACTTGAGGATAGTAATGGAAATTTGTATAGATTTATATTTTTCAATAAGCATATTCAGGACCTTGAATGCCTGCAAAACAGTGCAGAGTGTTGTGAGTAATAGTTAAATTGCTCACAACACTCTACGCTCGCATTCAAAGTCCTAAAACTGTTATAATTGTGCTCTCGGCTCCTTTCTCCCATTGCGTGGCATGCCGTAGAAATCTGCCAAACGTTTCGCCTCACGCCAACCGGCCTCCACGGCGCCGTGCACTGTAGAATAATAATGATCACTGGTCGCTTCGCCGGCAAATTGCACAATCGGTTTATCACAACGTGTTTGCGGATAGAGTGGATTCGCATTCGATTCGCCGCCATTAGTCAGCGGCGGACTCGTAACAACAGTGAGCGGTTGCGCCAATTCACGTGCGTTAGTGCCCACCTCTTCGGTATACATGGAACGAAACGAGTAGGAGCCGCGGAAGTTGGCATTCGTATGCCAGGCGGATGTTTTAAAGTTAATGGGTTCGGGTATGTCCCACTCTAGGAATTTGCGAAATAAATACATACAACCGGCGACTACTTCATCTTCGGGCAATGTTTCCATGTGTCGCCCATTGGCGCCGATTATCCAGCCGCTTAAAATTTTCGGTTGATAACTTACACAATAGAAACCGAATACATCCTCTAGCCAAGCGCGTGAGGTGCCGCGTATTTCATTGAAATCCTCTTCACGCCACAATAACGTGAAACCTGTCCAGTCGTCAGGCCAAAACTTTTCGGGGAATTCCATAAAAATCTTATTTACTGTGCCGAAAGCCAAACCGTCGATGGCGCGTTGTTTCTCCACAGGCAATTTCGGTTCGAAGAGTGTGATTTGTTGCTCTTTAAGCACACCCAGCGATACGGTTAGTATGATGTGATCGGCAATAATCACTTCACCACCAACACATTTCACATCCACGCAATAATCGTTGCGTCGCCAATTTATCTGCGTCACACGTTTGCCCAACAACACACGCTGCTCCAGTACGCCAAATTCGTTGTTCAATTCACGCGCTTTCGTTATTAAACGTAAAAATTCAAGAAATCCTTTGTCCTTCCAGTTCAGCAGTATATCACCCTCACATTCCCAATACTCCAAGTAACCTCGACCCGATACCTCATCTAAGCTGTCAGATGCTTCCACTGAATTCTCGAATTTCTGATAATTTTCAAAGAACTCCTTCGCTATCGCCATGTCTATATCGGAATTTTCTGGCCTGCGCAAAGCCTCATAAAATTTATTAGTTAAATAACTACCCAGCGAACCATTGCAGTTGCGCAATTCCATTTGGCGTGTCACCAGGCTGTCGTTGACGATATCCTTCAGCCGTTGGCTAACACTTTCGGGCACAACCTCGCGATTTGAACGTATGCACTTGTAGTTTTCATAAACATCACCCGTGGACTCGAGTAGATTGTGTTTGTTGGCCAACTCAAAGATGATATTGTCTTTTTCACCATGACACCATTGCGCTCCTAAATCGATAACATTCTCTCCGAATGGTATCGTATGTACACGGCCGCCGATGCGCGGCTCGGCTTCTAGTAGTAGCACATTCTGAAAGCCGTAATCAAGTAGTCGTACAGCGCAAGATACACCAGAGACGCCTGCGCCAATGATAACAATCCTGGGACCACTACTACTTGTCATTACCTCAACGAAAGAGAGAGAGAGAGAGAGAGTGAGCTAATGTCGTTGGCGATAACTAGACTGCAAGAGGTCGCGAAGAAATTTCTGTAAAGAGAATAATTAAAGATTTAGAGAGAGCTTATAAATTTGTTTTGTACATCAACATTTAGAACTTTTTTACTAAGGTAATTAAAGAGTCTTTAACAGCCTCATGCCTTCGTAAATGATAATAATATCAAGTATATATAAAGTCACCAAAATAAACTCTTTTTCTCATCGGCGTAGAATTATAACCGGACGATGAGGTCATGTGTAGAAACCCACGCAAGGGCGGAAAGTTTTTGATTGAATTAAGCTGAAAGTGAATAGAAACTATTCTTTTATACATAATTAAGCAGTTCAAGGCCAGTAACCTTTGGAAGTGATTTATAGGATAAGTCAAACTAGTCGTGATTGAGTAAAGGGTTTGAAAAACACCACATATAAAATCTGCTCCAAAAAAAAATACAACCTTTCCATAATCCCTATAAGTTCTGGAACTACAACAAAGGCACGTCAAAAATGTAAAATAATTTTTTGATCCTTCTTCTAGATCTGTTCACCTAAACGAGACTAGCTGGGCCTAACTCAATCCGTAAAAAAAGTGGTATCACAGTCTAACAGACTAAAGTTCACCGTTAACGAACTAAACTGGCCTTAACAGTGTGGCTTCTCTAAAAATCCTCTAAAAAAAATCACATATATATTATATAATCGAAATTTTTTCCCTTTAAATAGCTAGAAAATACTCTTAGAAATAAAATAAAATTAGTCCTAAAAGTCCGCAAGACCAAGAAGTAGGTTAAGAAAAGGAGCACCGAACGGGCCAAGCGGCAAATCCTCGCGAACAAAAACTTCAATCGGCTTTTTCTCGTAACGGCATTTTACTCCTAAAATGTCTCTCTATGGTCGGTACAGCAACCAAATATATGCATGGTCATTTATAGAATTTATAAAAAACTTACGGAAGGTTTCAAAACCGGAGCAGACTATTGTAGGACACAGAGAAGTGATCTAGCCCCGATGCCAGAAGAGGCCATCTTTGATCGACAGAGGCCGAATTGTGTTTGAGGAAAACGCCAGGCCACACAAGTATTTGGTGACGCGCCACAAGCTCCAGCACCTCGGATGGGAGGTCCTAATACACCCACCTTATAATCCGGACCTGGCACCAAGTGATTACCATCTTTTCTTGCCCATGGCGAAGGCGTTTAATGGTGAGAAGTTGGTCTCAAGAGAGGCCTGCGAAAATTGGATCTCCGAGTCTTTTGCCCATAGCGACGTAGTCTCGGCATCTCGTTGGCAAAAGGTTACAAACAAAGCGGCGCATATTTGGCTTAAATCGAGCATATTTTGAGAAATCTATAAAAAAAACCCTCGACTTGACTTAATATAATATCTTAGTTTTTCTAATGTTTTTTTAGTATTAAAACGAAGACCATTCACGTGAATTTTTTGAATTTGAATTTCACTTATAAACAAAATTTATCACGTAAATACAAATGTTGCCTTTTGACTACTTTATTTTTATTTATTTTTTAAGAGTTTGCACGTTTAAATGAATTATCTCAAATATTCAAAAGCTTCTTATCGCTGTCTTAAATAAATACATACATATATATTATTGTATTAAGAACCTTAAACCCACTTAAATTAAATGGCATTAAAGGGTTAGGAAATTGTAAATATTCGTACGAGTGCATACGTCCGTGCTTTCAAAAACGCCCATTGTCACTGGATCACACGCCCACTAACACTGTGCATTCATTCACAAACATACATACACACACACATACATACATACGAATTGTGCACTTTTCCACTTAATGCAGACTTTTCTTGTTACATTTCACTGAATGCTTAATTTTCCACATTATGAACATAAGCATACAGCAGCAGCAACAACTACATATAATATACAACAACACTAAACCAACAACGACAAATTGTAATAACAACATACTCGTATAAGCATATATACATATGTATATTTCACAGCTGCATTCATTCATAAAAAAATACAACAAAAGCGTTTTTCCTTTGAATTTTCCAACAAAGCATAGGTGTAGGAAAATACATGTTTGTATGCTTGTGTTTGTGCGTATGTGCCTGGGTATGTCGCCTGTGAAAATGTATGGAAATGCATGCCAAGCCCACCTTTCTCAATTGCTACCGTGTTTATTTTGTTTCGAGTAATAAAGAGCAAATGCAAATGGTATAATGTAATGCAAGAGGTGACAGTAACTACACGCGACTCTTGGAAAATATATGTATGTATGTATTTATTGTGTGGCATAAAGTGACGTATTGAATCCTTGTAGGAAATTTGAAAAGAATATGAATTATACAGTACTACTATGTACGATAACGATGCCTCCGTATTCGCATAGCAAGGCTCTATGAGATTTTTTCTAAAAAAAAAAAAAAAAAACGAACTTTAAAGAGCCATCATTTCACAGCAGTGGATAACATTGAAAGAGCATCGCTCAAATAACTAAAAGATATCTCAAAAATCAAGTTTGAGAAGTGTAACGGAAATTTAAGGAAGCGCGAGGACAAGCACTTTGTCTCTAACAGGGACTGGTTTGAAGGCGATAACATCAATGTAGATGAATAAATAAATAAATATTTTGTTCCAAAAAAAAACTATCGTTATTTTTTCATGTTAGTTTTCGTATCTTTTTTGAGCAAGAATTAATATTATACCAGCGAGTTCTACTTTGTAAGATCAAATATAAAAAGGCTGATCTTCAGCAAATACTTTATGTACCCATAATGTAATGGAATGTACTCAAGCTTCTGCGTATGCATTTACAGTCACACTGCTATACTGGATTCAAGCTCTTGCCTCCACGTCGCGCACCCTGGAAAGATAAGCAACCCTTGTGCAAGATGTCTCAATGTCCGACTACGATGGGGCCGATGAATTGACGGCCAAGCTAATCGAAAATGGCGGCGAAAAATTGATAAGGTACAAGCATCATTTCTTCACAGAATATAGACGAACTATTGAAACCTAAGTGTTATCTCTCGAATCCACAATAAGGGCGATCCTGCTGTCTGCTTCAATTACCGTGGCATAGGCCTCGTAAATATCGCATCGAGCGTATTGAATTAAAGACCTAAACGTACCTTCAACAAACTTTTTGGACCTTATCAGTGTAACTTTAGGCGTGGGAAATTCACCACCCCTTTGCCGATTTTAGAGCAGCCTTGGACAGCACGAAAAGGAGCTGACTCTACGCCACATTGTCTGAATGAGGTATCTTCGCAGAACTAATACGGCTGTGTAAGCTGCCGCTATACAACACTAAAAGCTCCGTCAGTATCGGGAAGGACCTCATCGAATCGTTCAATATCAAACGAGGTTTGAGATAGGGTGACTCCTTATCGAGTGACTTCTTTAATTTAATGCAGGACAAAATAATAAGAGCTGCAGAGCTGAATAGAGAAGTTACAATCTTTTATAAGAGAGTACAACTGCTGGCGTATGGCGATGAAATTGACATTATTGGCCTCAACAACTGCGCCGTGAGTTCTGCTTTCTCCAGATTGTATGAGGAAAGTAATGATATGGATCTGGTAGTGAACGGGGACAAGGCGAAATATCTCCTTTTATCAAACAAATAGTCATCGCATTCGCGATTTGATTGGCTCACACGTCACTGAGCCTATTTACTGTAATTGACACCACCTGCGGTTGGTTGCCTCTACAGCTAAGTCCTATTACCGGAACCACAGAGGTTTTGATCTGGTCAAGGACAACAACACACTTAAAACACCAACAACAATCAAATATGATGCCAAATTGGCTGATGTGGTTGGAGGATTTTCTCTCCGAACTGAGAGTATGGACGTGATCGGAGTTCGTCTGTTTGCAAGAAGAACTACTTTGCGACTCAAAGAAGACGTATACGGAATGTTAATAAGATATGTTTTTTTTTAATTGAAGGAAAATTTAATTTCGGAAGTGTTTTTGCTTTAATAAACGACTTTTACTTGTGAAACATTAAAAACAAGTTTATCACAATACCTCCCTAAGTAATATAATATAACGAAAAATCAACTAAATTGTGAAGCTAAGTTTGAAAGCTAAATATAATATAAATATTTGTATGTATATATGTATGTATTTCGCTGCGAATAAAATTTAAAAATATTTTAAACTGATTTAAACTATTGAACTAAGATCTCGATCAATTGAAAATGTGCAAATAAGTATTTACACACACGTAAGTTCATATAAATATTTATGAACAAATATTACGGGCATTTATCTAAATGTTTATATGTACACATGCTACTCATGTGAACTTAGCCATATTAATCATTTTTGATGTAATACAGTTATGTAACTGAATTGTTCCTTATCTCACTTAAAGCAGTCATGCGTAACTGACACGTGTAAGTGGGAGCTAAACAAACATCACTGATAACAAAAACTTGCAAAACTATTTTCAGTTGATTACTATGAAGTTTGTTTATTTTTCAATTTTTATTTGGAATTATTAATTAAAATGTCTACAGAAAAATTTAATTTTTGTCAATCTTGACGGTGGAAAATATTAAATTTAAGGTATAAACCTACTCTAGTGGTTAAAAAAGAGACTCATTTTCAAAAATTTATTATAGGAATATGAGAAACGGAATAGAATTTCTATTTAACCATTTCACATTGAACACATATAGATAAAAAAAAAGGATGACACCTAGAACAGAAAAGCAAAAAGTCTTATGATTTACAAACTATGGCCTTTGGCAGTACGTACGGATTTATTTTTTAACTATTTTTTGTGAAAGCGCCACGCTTTTTTTTTTTAAATACGCAAAGAATTATTAAAAGAAAAATTTTGCATTTCATCAAACAAAAGTATTTGTGAAGCTACCTTCAAAATTTCAGATGAATCTCTCCTCCCAGATGGAGAATTGAGATTTCGAGAAAAACGCGTTTAAAGTTTTCATTGTATTCAGTGCACGCTCTGAGGGGCTGCAAACAAAAAAAAGTTCAGATGTTTGAAATATTTTTTCACTTTAAAACCAATTGCTCTCATTTAAAGGACCCAAATGTACCTTGTGAGAAAGAAAAAGTCCTAGAGTGGATTTACCCCCTAACGCCATTTTCACCATCTCCGGTCCACTTAAGGCTCGTCTGGTAATTATGTTATGGTTAACTTAACGCCAACATTGAGTGGAGATTAGCTCTTAACCAGAAGATAATCTGACAGCTGCAAATAGTAAAATAATAAATTGCATTCCGGTGTTAATTTTTAAAATAAATTTGATCATGGGAAACAACGAACGCCCTGTTTATCTGGCTTCATTGCTCCAGAAGCGTATTTATAAGGAGCGGGCACAAATAATTTTTTTTTTTAGAAATTGAATACAAGGTTAGGACAATTCAATTTTTTTGCTTACCTAAGATTTTAAAATAATTTTTTTTTAACTTAAAATTTTGACTATAAAATTCTAAAGTCTTGCATGAAAAGTTTTAAAATTAATAATAATCACAATTAAAACCTTCTGAATAGTTTAATATCGAACAAATGTATTTTAGTTTTTAAATTATAAAAATTGTTATTAGTTTTTAACAAAAATTTCCATAGATAGCAACTCTAACTTTATGTGTCATGTAATACGAAATAGTGGTTTAAAATTTTCAAAATTCGAGACAAACGGATAGTAATTATAAAAATTTAATATAGAAATCTATTCACGCATAACTTCTTTATATGCTATTTAGTGAAAAATTCGCGTTTAAAAAAATCGAAGCGATACAAAGTATACAGTGGACAAAAATTAAAAAAAAAAAAAAAAATTGCAAGTGATAATAATAATATAATTTAATAAATAAGTTGTCGGAAAAAATGGTACCTAATAGAGAGACAGAGCAGTATGGTATTATTTAAAAAAATCCCTAAGTATTCTCCTCAAGATCTTTTGAAGGAAAAATTTCTTAGCGAATTGGTTCTCCAATCATATTTAATATAAAAAGAAAGCTAGTTATATGAATAGCTTAGTGAAAAGACGATATTTAAAAAAAAAATTTTAAAAAATATTAAAATCCCATAGGATGTGAAAATAAAGTAATATTTTAGTTTGAAAACATCTCCGCCCTTTAACACTGCGCACAACGTAATATTATATGAGTAGTGTTACAGTTGTAGATTGCGCACAAGTATGTGAGGTACTAGCCCCTATTAGAGCTTAAGCAAAAGATGAGCAGCTACTCCCTCTCCTATGGCCAATTAGATCAAGTGTATAGAGGCGGTGGCAAGGTACGGCTTCCTGCCGTTATGGATACATTCTTACTTAGATGTGGCGATTCGAGGATCTATTCCCTCCTTAGAAATGTATTTGAGAAGATCTATTCCACTACCTTTAGTATCCGTACGAAATTGCTATCAAATGTTTTGATATAATTATTGAGCATCAAGTTAAAACAAAAGTTAATTTTCCGGTGACTGGCCAATTTGCCCTATATTTATTTATTTATTTATTTCATTACATAACCATAAGTTATTTTACAGTGACTGAAATTAATTATAATAGCTTAAAGTAAAACATAATATTAACATCCTAATTATATCATTAAAACTGTCCTTTTCTCTCTAAATATGAAAATAACGTTGAAGGTTAGGGATTTAAAAAAAACTAGTATTTTATATTTACAAAATTTGAAATATATATTACAAATTAGTAATAAAAAAGCGTGAATTTTTTGTATTGTAACTTACGAAGGTGGCATTCACCCGTCATACTGTATTACATTGAGACCCAATTTAATCGTTAAAACATGATTTCCCTATACCCATTTTTTTCTATTTATATAAACAAATACATACTGGCGCACTGCAAAGTACCGATAAAAAAATAATTTTTAGGGATTTTCATAAATGTTTGCCACCACTTGCCCTTTTATACTGAAATACCTAATTTCTATGCTCAATATATGTATGTGTATGTAAATCTAAGAAATATATAATACATAAATATGTATGCATGCATGTACAAGTATATGTACATAAATATTATGAAAATTTCACTATCTCTTGGCGCGCTTGAGTTTATTTTTAGTCAGCATTGTTGCGGCAAATGTTAGGAATTCTCTTCGGTAAAGATATATGCAAGCGTGTAGTGAGTAAAAAGGTTCGTATCCTAGCAAGCGTTGGCATGTACATACATATATATATATTTGTGTGTATGTTATATGTAAGAAAGTATTGTGAAAAATTGTAGCATTTTTCCTTATATATAAATATTTCGGTAATTGCTTGGGACTAGTGGAATTTTTCAACTTTTTAAACACAGCCCAATAGTCGAGTGGTTGGCAGTCTTGACTTGATCTACAACCAAAATGACAAAAAATTTATTTAAAAAAAAAATTGCATTAATTTGTCTAGTTTCACTCACGACGTCATTTTAATTAAAGTGCATTTGTGGTAACATCGTCGCAAATAATCTGGTAAAATACATAAAATTTATTTTTCCTTTGCGTTCATCCAAATCTTGTTTACTTTTTTCCAAAATGATAATTTGACATTATTTCGGACAATTTTTCAAACAATTTTTTTTTTTCTAAATTCAAATTTGATATTCAAAGTTAATTACGGCATCGCGATTTTCAATAACATTTTTTTCATATTTTTTTAAATAAATTAAAAATATTATTTAATTTCGGTGAAAATGGTTCAAATTCAATAGGAGTATTTCACCATATATTTGAAACCAATTGCATTTAAGCGACACCATATTAGTACTACTGCTTTCGAATATTTAAATCTTATTTTTCTTCATTAATTTTATTTGGTCTAGGTCTCATATGACTAATCGAATTAATTTTGAAAATATGGTTTCAGGAAAACGTTTAATTTTTTCAAATGATTTTTCAGTTGACCGAATTCAACTCTTAAAATTGAGAAAACTAGTTTCGTTATTGAAATAATTTGATATATATGTATTAACGCCAGCGCAGCAGTATTTCTTGTATAAAACTCTTATTCACTTTTGAACACTGGCCGGACCAGCACAGGCTATCCCTTGGGCAATAGCTTATTTTTTTTTTTTTTACTAATTTTAAGACCATTTTGTAGTGAAAAATCGTAAAATTTGTGGCTGCAATAATATGTAAGTACCAATAATTCAAACATCTTTCTTATTTTCATGGGTGGTAGCGATTTCTCTGTCAACTGTCAGTACTGCTTAAGTATTGCACATTACTGCAGATATGTACATATGAATATATCTCGAAATATAAGCCACTAAGCTTAGTAAAAGCGTTGTTTGCTATGCCTATAGTTTCTGCTTATTGAAATCATTTTGAACTTGTGGTAATCCAGTATATTTTTTGTTGCGAATAAAATTGATTTTCGTAGCATGCTGCAGCATTGAACCACCAAACAATCGACCATCAGACCAACCAAACAACCAGACAACCAGCCAACCAACTAGCCAGCGATATATTAAACCATCATTGACCTTCAATGTAGTGTGTGCATCTTAGACTTTTGCCGCCCAGCAACTGCTGTTACAAAAGCTTTGCATTTTTCATTGCATTCGAGAGATAGTCACTTTAAAGTTACATTTGTACATATATTTCTTTTTTAATAATATTTTTTTTTTAATTTTTATTTTGTTTTATTATGCTTTATTCCCGTTTTCCTTATGTTATGTTTTGCGCATTTTCGCCGCGCGTTCACGTGCTTGCTTTTAGCTAGGGTGGTTGCTTGGCTGCAGATAAAACACACAGACACGTCGACACACACTTTTAGCGAAACTAATTCATTTTGCTTTTGTAATGTTGGAAAAAAACATATTTTATGAAATAAACTCACTTTATTTTGATGACTCTTTTTAGTTTGCACTTTGCTAAATATCTATTTTTCCCACTATATTTTAATATTCATTTATGCACGGAATATTTTTTTAATCGAACACACACGATTCCGCAGCTACCGAAGCACCACGCGTTTCTGTTGCTGACATTGCTCTGACGAGGTTCGAAAGAATTCGGTTTCCTCTGCCCGCTGTTATATACACTCTGCTATAGCGGCACTGTATATTAACATTAGCAGCAGCGCATTTAACAGCGGAAACAAAAGTAGCCAAAAATGTTGCAGAATTTTTGAAAATTGCTTAAATTTATATTGATAATTTATATTTTTTTATTCTTTTTTTTTGAATTTTGCTGTCTCGTAACAAACGAAACAATTTCAAGATGTGTTTATATTTCTAAATATTCAATAAATATATTTCAAAATCTACAGTGGAGATGAAATTGGTATTTTACAGCGTATGGGACTTCGCTCTGTCCATATATATTTAGTTGAAGTATAAACATTTTCATTTTATTATAGATAACACCGTGTTAACAGCGCACCAAGTGAATGCACACTTGTAAACTAACAGCTAGTTAGTGTAAGACTACCCAACGAGCAAATTCAACTATTATGCTTGATTTAAGATTATGAGAAAAATTATTCTTCGGAAGACTTCTCGCACCGTATGGTAGGTGTCTTTGGATTAATATATATATATTCATAGATAAATTAATGCGGCCCCGCACCTTCAATTAAGAATGTATTTCATCTTAGCCATAATCGGATGACCGAGAACGCTATACATCACTTGCTTACAAATAACCAGTGAGCTTGTTATCAGCAGCACAAAAATTATTCAAAGTTTTCTTCATTAGTTTAATATTATTAGTTTAAGAAATTTAAGTAAATAATAATGGTGGAAATCTGTTAGTAAATATTAAATCACCCAATTTTTTCCGTAATTAAGGTATGCCACGCACATTGCTGGTTTAACTAAATACAACGATGAATCTGGACCTGAAGGGTCTGAAATATACCGCCTAATCCAGATTGTATTGCGTTTGCATGCACATGCAGTAAGGGTCATCAATGGAGCGTAATGCCGTGATATAAGGCTATGGTGATACGAAACCATCCCAAACTTCTGGGGGAAAAGTTTTGACGGAGTCGAAGAGAGTACGGGGTCCTCTTATGAAAGTTCTCTTTGTCCTACGAGACCCTTAGGAGCGAATAAGAAGTCCCAAAATAAGCTCGCCCAAAACCCATCTCAGTAGGTTTGAAGAAAGCTCATTCAAAACTCGAAACTATGCAAGACTACAAAGACTTAATCTAATTCCACTCAATCCGCCATATCGTCTAGAATAATAACAATAAGCCAAGCATCTCGGACTAACGTCGATGCTGTTCCAAAGCCATTAAGTCATCTGTCAGTTTTGCATACTATGCCGTCTGCCTTAAGGTCTGTAAAAAACAACCAAGAAAGAGGAGTTGCGGTTTGGAGCAGACTTTAGACCTGAACTCAGAACCCAGCAGAGTCCTCATAATCAGCTTTTAATTGACTTAATTTTCGTCATTCCAAGCCCATTGGCAATTTTTGTCCCATTCATAATTTGTGAGTCATTTTCATATGAACATAAATGAAAGGCTTTGAGTTCCAGAAAACACGTGATAGAAGCTTTTTTTTTATTAGGTGAGTGCGTAAAAGCCTCTCAAACTAACTTCTCGGGTCTTCTGGCGAGTCACTATCGATGTTTGTTGGCCAGACGTTGTCGACGATAAAACACAATTATTCTCCTATTTTTCGTCCTTCAGACAATCCAATTGCTCACAATTCAAGTCCGAATGAGAAGTTTGGTCGTATATTCGCAGCTCACAGTAAATTATTTTTTGTCAATCCATCAAACATAACGCAAACTCTTCCTGGCCATCAATCCTGACTTGGAGACCGTATGTGCCAGCTCACTGTCCTTCGAATATAACCGTTTTCGTTTGACGTTGCTTCAAGTAATCCACTGTTCACTACCAGTCACCAACCGTTTCGAAAATGGGTAAATTTCAACAGGGATCTGCTGATGAAAATTCGGTACATGAGGTTTTAAAGGCATCGTGCCTTTTTGTGTACCCAGCATTTATTAAGTGGGAAATGAAAACCGTGCTCACATGATGGTCATATTCGTCAATTTCCATTAATTAAACGGCATTTCGGCAGTTATCTTTCTACACCGTAAAGCATCTTTATCATCACAATTAAAGGAACCAGGGTTTCAATTGCTTCTCGAGTGTCATGTTGGTATATTCACATTCGTTACAAAAAAATCTTCTTCCATTGAATTTACCTTAACTATTTTTTGTTATTTTTTTTTTTGTTTTGTTTGTTAAATTTTGTATCAATAGTTACATGCCTGTTAACTAAAAAATGTTTGTTGGGTAGTAATTTGACAAGTGTGCTCTCTGCTATTCATTTCTGTCGCTAATGAAATCAACACATAAAAAGTGAGAGTGACATTGAAAACATTTGCAAGTGGCGATTAACCCAATACCCAATTCCTCATCGCTGCTGCTATGCATAATAACAGAGCCGGCAGTGGTGCTGTTGTCATTAATGTAAATGTTTTGCAACATGTTTCTGTTGTAACAGATTTTATCTATCAGATGCAATGTTGGCAATGAAATTTATCTTTTGAATTTTGGGCATATTAGGTTGGTTCATATATTGAAATATGCAAAATTTTACGTAAATACCTTTTTTCGAAAATCGGTGAATTTCATTTATTTTATCATTTATTATTTGCTTGTGATGTGTACCAAAGGATTTGAAGTACAATTTCCGTTACCCTTCTTTATTAAAAACTCATTGTGCGTGTTTTTTTTTTAGAAAAAGAAGAACGATCTTTATTTATTGCATACATTTCAATTATAACCTTTTTCTGTATATAATTACGGTGCGAATACTTACATACATACAAGTCGTATTGTGGATTCTGCAAGTGTCTTTAATACAAAGCATTGGATTATAAGCATTTGCCTTTTTACAACTAATCAATGAACTCAAAAACAAATTTATTACTTTTCAATGAAACGTTTCGGAGTTTCTCTTTTGAATAATTTACTTTTAATTTGTTTTTCTTTTTTTAATATACACGTACATACTACATTGGTATAATAAATTTGTATGTTAAATTTATATGTAGCATGGTGTAATGCTTTTGTTTCTGTGCGCCTATTTAAATGATTGATTTTTTTCTTCTTTTTTTTTAAATTAGTGTAAAAATTTTAATGTTTCTGTTTTTTTTTTTTAACAGAAAATTATATTAAACAAAGGAAATTAATTGAAATGCCATCCGATGAAAGATATTTTTATAATTTGCCTTTTTCTTTAAAACTTTATATGAAATTCATACTTTTCCTACAACTTACATAATACATATTTATTTGCTGTTTAAGAAATTTATTTTCGCTTTTGTTTTTCTTCTGTCATATCAATAAATATAATTAAATCTAATACTTAAAAAAAAATGTTTGTTTAACTTTTCGCTGAACTAAAGTGCAATCCATTTTTACACCTTCCTCTTGTTACCTTTTCTGTTTTGCACACATTTATATTATGATATTTATTGTTTTCAAATACATATCCAACTATTTGCGTCATAACTTTACACTACTTTATATATTGTTTTGATTTCCCTTTGCTTTTGCATTTACGCACTATTCTCCTTAGGCTAATTCTTCAATTGTTTTAACTTTTCTTTGAAATAATTTGCAACTTTTAAATTGTTGAACACTTTTGTTTAACTCTTTTTAACTGCATATCATTATTGCAATGATATTATTACACTCGTATACAACTACAAACATGCATTTAAATGTATTTTAATCATATATATTGCCCATTCAACGCTTTTCCTTTTCTCCTATTTTATTCTATTACAATAATATATGTATGTATGTTCTTATTTCTGGCTTTGCGCACAATTGTTTCAGCATTATTCTTCCCACTTCCTAGAAAAGTAATAAGAAGAAGAACAGAAACCTATAGTTTATTTAATTTCTTTTCTTTTTATCTAAAATCAGCCTTTAATTCTTAACGGTTGAAAACAAGCATACAACATACATGTACATACATATTTATTTATTTAGATCAAGCACTTTTATACGTATAATAATCATTAGAGATACAAAGATAGTGGTAGAAAACGTCCAATACTTATTGTTAAAATAGTTTGGATATATATAAACATATATATGTATATATATATATAATACGCTAATGGCTTAATGATTGCGTGATAAAACAATAAAAAAATGGAAGAGTTCGCTGAAACTATATGAGAACACTTCAGTAAGTGTGGGGTTTACTCTAAAGTATAATATGAAATGTAAGGAATTAAAGATACATCTTTCAAAACTAAATAAAATCAAGAAAAAGAAAACAAAATAACATTAAAAATAATTGAACCAAACGTAAACGAAAAATAATTCTTTAATATAAAATAAATCAACTTAAAATAAAAATAAATGAATCGAATAAAATTAAATAAATTAAAAAGGGAAAAATTAAAATATATAAAACAAAATAAAGTAAGAAATTAGCAATTAAAAAAATTAAACTAAAAAAAGAAACATATAAAAAGAAAAATTTTTTAAAAACAAATTAAAATAAAAAAATATAAAATCAAAATATATTAAAGGAGAGAAAATAAAATAAAACATTTAAAACACAAAATTAAAAAAAATTAATTAATTAATTAAATTTAAAAAAATTAATGAAATGAAATAAATTATTAAAACAAAACGTTATTATTTAAAAATAAATTGGAAAGGAAGTAAAATAAAAATATATAACAAAAGGTAAAGAAGAGAGTAAACGAAATAAAAAAATAACTTAAAGGCAGTTAATTATTTTGTTATTAATTAAAATTTTGTATAAAAAGAAAATAATGAAATATCTTGTTATACAATAATTTTGGAATAATATAAACTTTTTGATTAAAACTAACAAAACAACTTAAAATTAAAATAAACTATAAAAAAGTGAATTAAGAATATAGAAAAAAAATATTAAAAAAAGAAAAATATAAAAATATTTTATATAAAATAATATTAAATAAAAAAAATTTTAAGAAAAGTAAATTAAAAATATATGAAACAAGGGTCGATAGTTCTGGTAATTTGTGATAAAATAATACAATACAATTATTATTTTAATTATAATTAACAGTAAAATTTATAATAATAATAATTAAACGTAATAAATATAAATAATAATATAAAGTAATAAAAACTAATTGATAAATTAAAATAAAAATAATCAATGA